ATAAACAAAACAAACAAACAAACCAGCAAACAAATAAATAAAGCATGCCTCTATAAAAAAAAAAAAAAAAAATCCACTTGTTCCCCTTTCAGTAGTTTCTTATTCTAGAATTATAGGGATCTTCGTTAACTCCTCAGTCTTCCTTACCCTACATCTAATCCATTACCAAGTCCTATTGATTCTATTTGTGAAATATATCCTGACTCCATCCCTTATGCCAACCACTTACTCTAATCTTAACCACCACTGACAGTTTCCTAAATTACTACGTATTCTTCTCATTGATCTATTTATTTCTGCTTTTGTCCCTTACATGGAAACCAGATGGTTGGCTTCCATTCCACTTAGATTTACATCTCAAAACCTTCATATGATTATGTTTGGCCTGGTCCTTGTCTTTTCTCTTGAATCTTGCCTCCCAGTACACTTCCTTTTAGTCTCAACTTTTCAGAAACATTCTTCCTTGCCCTTCTCTGCCTTAAGATCTTTGCATGGGCTAGTACTTATGCTCAAAACTCCCCTCCCCTCTTTTCTTTACCTGGATAGCTCTTTTTATTCAGTTTCAACTTAAATGTCATTTCTCAGCATTGCACCTCTCTCCATCTAAATTAGGTTAGGTCACCACCCTACGCCCCTCTAGGACTTGGCACTTTTCCTTTTCTTCACATTTACAAGTTATGATTGTGTATCATTTATATGGTCTTGTTCAATGTCTGGATATCTTAATTGTCCTGTTTAATGACTGAATGCTGTTAAGACTGGATCTGTTTTGCTTTCATCACTGTATTCTCAGTGTCTAATAGAGAATCATTCATATAACAAGTACCTTATAAATTTTAGAGAATAAATTAGTATTCAATGGCAAGAACATTGTTCACACGGGACTTTAGAGTTAGAAATCTGATGAATCATTTAATTAGTCTAGACTTGTTTCTGTTGTGCCTGTCATGTCCTTTACAGAGGTGCATTCAGGCTTTGTTCCTTTAATACTCTTGCAAAGACCCCTGCTTCCTTCTATTGTATCTCAATGTAGTCATTTCTCCAAAGTGTGTAAGTCCTATCCAGGTGGGATGAATAAAGTAAATGGTTACCCTCTTTGATTATAGTTTTGTGTTTCTGTCAATGCTTGGTAAGATTGTCTTCATGACTTAGCTAAGTACCTAGGGCAAATTATAGTCAGCTAAAACCTAACTTTTTGAAAATTAGAAGTTTCCATTGTGAGATTACAAATGAGGCATTTGAAGCCATTTTACTTCAGTCTTCCGTTGGTTGATAGCTATTCTCCATTTGTATTCTCCATACAAATGATCACAGGTTCTTTAGTCTATAAAAATTTCTTGCAGATGGATTGTCATGGTTAACACCTGTTATGTACTTCCTGTGCCAGGTTGGCAAGTGTGCTATAAACCTTTATTGAGCACCTACTCTGTAAAGGGTTCTCCCAAATATTTTGTAATATATATTTCACATTATATAATCTACATATATTATTCTGTAGGGTAGTATAGGGTAGGACTCTGAAATTAGATCTCCTTGATTTGAATTACAGCCCTGCCACTTACCAACTGAGTCATCTTTGATAAATTCTTTAAACCTAACTTGCTTGAAACCATAAAATACATAGAAGGAAATATAGGCGAAACACTACGGGATTTGCACATCAAAGACATCTTTACAGACACATCACCCAAAGCAGTGATAGTGAAGAGAAAGATAAACAGCTGGGACTACATCAAATTAAAGAGCTTCTGCACAGCAAAAGAGACAATAACAAAAACAAAGAGAAACCCCACCAACTGGGAGAACATTTTTGCACCCAACACTAATGATAAAGGACTGATCACAAAAATCTGCAAAGAGCTGATGAGACTCAGCAACAACAAAGAAAATAATCCAGTCAAAAAATGGGCAGAAGAGCTAAAAAGAAACTTCTCTGAAGAGGAAATGCAAATGGCCAACAGACATATGAAAAAATGTTCAACATCACTTGTAATCAGGGAAATGCAAATCAAAACTACCATGAGATACCATCTCACACCAGTGAGAATGGCACATATTAAAAAAACTAGCAACAACAAATGTTGGCGAGGATGTGGAGAAAAAGGAACTCTTGTGCACTGTTGGTGGGAGTGCAAACTGGTCCAACCACTATGGAGAGCTGTGTGGAGATTTCTGGACCTACTAAACATAGAGCTTCCATATGATCCAGCAATTCCACTCCTAGGTATTTACCCAAAGGACACAGAAACATCAATTCCAAAGAGCACCTGCACTCCTATGTTTATAGCAGCACTGTTTACAATAGCTAAGCTTTGGAAACAACCCAAATGCCCAAAAATAGATGACTGGATCAAGAAGATGTGGTACATATATACCATGGAATATTACTCAGCATTCAAAAAAGATAAACACATGCAATTTGCAGCAACATGGATGGCACTGGAAGGGATCATGCTCAGCGAAATAAGCCAAAAAGAAAAAGAAAAATACCGGATGGTCTCACTCATAGCAGGAATCTAGAAAACTTAAATAAGGGACCAGGAAAATGAATATAAGAAAGTGAAAATCAAAATCAACAAAAAACTATGAACCAGAGACACTTGTTGGTGGGTGGGGGGCGGGAGGGGAAGGATTGGGGTCAGAATGGGGCGTTTGCAATTGTATGGGGGAATATAAAATAAAAAAAAAAAAAAGAATATATAGCTCAAAAAAAAAAAAAAACCTAACTTGCTTCAGTTTCCTCATCTGTAATATTAAAGTAATAGTTGTACTATCTATGTCGTGATGATATGCTAAATTAATGTATTTCAGTACTGATGCTGGCACATAGATGTCTTGGTTATTATGATCTTGGTTATTTATGATCTCATTTAATTTTCAAAATTATTGTGGGTTGGGTTGAGAGTATAATTCTAGTTTTGCAGATAAGGAAATTCTTTGAAAGAGATTAGGTTGTTTATTTAAGGCAGATCCAGGACTTGAATTTGTGATTAGAGTAGCAGAGTGACATGTTGATGTGGAAGGAATCACATAATCCCATCCCCCTGAAAGGGAGGGATTGTGACTGAGGCAGGTACTTAGCATCTCATTGCCTTCTCTGCAGGATGCCTTGGTTGAACCTCTAGTGAGACAAGACCACAGATTAGCTTTAAATAAATTGGTGAAGAGGGCCTCCCCGGTGGCACAGCGGTTGAGCGCTGGGTTGCGAAGCTGCCCGCGGCCTCTGCGGCACCGGTTCGATCCCCGGCTGCTCCCCGGCCACCGGAGGAGGGTCCCACATGGCGCGCAGACCTCTCCGTCTGCAGCACCGGTTCGATCCCCGGCTGCTCCCCGGCCACCGGAGGAGGGTCCCACATGGCGCGCAGACCTCTCCTGCTGCCCACTGCTCCCCTCAGCAGTGTACTTCGGTCCTTCTGCCTGCTCTGCTCCCCGCTCTGGCTCTGGTGAATTCTCTCACCCTCCTGCGCTTCTGACTGTACCCAGTGCATGTATAAACAAAAAACAAACAAACAAATAAATTTAAAAAAAACCATGCCTCTAAAAAAAATAAATAAAAATAAATAAATAAATAAATTGGTGAAGAAATACTGAAAGATGGAACCAATCATGATCATTTTTCTCTAGACATTTCCAGCAAAAGCCATCATATTCATACTTGTCTCTAGCACCTTGTCACTGATATGTAATGTATATTCAGAAAATGCTGGTGGTGAATTAGTAAGTGAATGATTAAATTAGTGGAAATATGAAGAGGGTGTGAGAGCTAGAACTGGAGGTAGAAATGATGTCAGAGGGTTTGGTGTGCATGACTTGAGAGATGGTGTCTCTTTCACTGCAGTAGCAAATGGAAGAGGAGGAACAGGTCTAGAGGAGCAAGAAGGAAAGTTAATGAGTTTGATTTAAGACAGATGGAGTGTAATCCTAGTAGGGATATTTAATAGGCAAATAGAAATAAGGGAAGAGATCAGGGTTGGAAATATACTAGAAACTTCTTTTGAATTTGAAACCTGGAACAAGTATCCCTAGAATTGTATACATTTTTAAGAAATGAATTTCCTGAAGAAATACTCTTGTCACTTTGCAGGTGTGTTATTCTATAATTATTTTAGACTTAACATCTTTTCCAGCATGATGTAGGTAGGAAGCAGTTTAATTTGCTCAATACTATAAATGTCTTCGGAGAACTAATTAAAGTGAAAAATGCTTAGGTATTCCTAGATAAAATAAAATAGGTTATTTATGGTAGAAATCATGCTGGTAATTATGTCATAAATAAGTTAAATAATTTTCTTTCAGGAATAGTTCAAGCTGCAGTCAGATCAGATTACCTGATGCAATAGGATGGACAGTGGGGACAATTGGTTTGACTGTTACCAAATTGATTTTTTTCCCCTACCACCAGTTTAATTATTTTATATTTGTCAAACCTTATTGGAGAGGTTAGGAATCACATCATCCATATTAAAGCTCAGTTTTATACTAATGAAGTGAGACCTAAAATATTAGGAAAGTGTAGCTTTCTATTGGTTTTGCTTTAATGACAAAGCAGACGGCATATTTAAATTAGAGGTAAGCTTTCTCTTCTACTTATAGAATAAATTATTTTTTAGAAAGATTTATGGTGTTTTCATCACATCTACTAGGGCTTGAAGGATTATTCATGAATAGCTTTGTATTTTAATATCAGTGTCTCCTGTTTTCTGAATATATTTAGAAATTTTCTTGATTGTAATAAAATAATTATTTTAGAGGAGCCAGAAAACACTTGAGATTAGTTAGTGAACTTTTACAGATGATTGATAAGCTAAGGTCTGTAGAGGTTGCAACCTATTACTGGAAGCTTTTGAATTATAGTGCCTTTATAAAAACAAGCTTAGCTTTAATCTTTAAAAATGTATTACTATGCTTAAAAGTATGTTTGAGTACTTGTTTTTCTTTGTTTTTGATAGCATTTAAATTTTATTATATTATTACCTTTTTGATTTTTTTTTTTCTTTCAGAAGTCAGGAGAAAGCAGTAGAAGTTGGAGTCATTGTCAAGTGATTGAGAACTTTTACAAGAAAATCCCATTGAATAAAAGTCATTTTAATTAGTGACGTAGTAAAATCAGTTATTAAAGGCCACAGTGTACAGGAAACGTTAAAATTGAACAATGACTCAACTACATATTTATATTAGATTATTGGGAGCCTATCTGTTCATCATTTCGCATATTCAAGGTAAATGAATGTTCATTTAAGCAATCTTATTTTAGTAATTTCTTCTTAAAAATGAGGTAATACAGGTTTATAATGATATAAGTTTCAGGTGAGTAACCTTGTATTTTGACATCTCTATGTATTACATTATAATATCATTGAAACTCTGGTTTCTGTCTACCACCATGTAATTGACCCCATCCCTCTACCCCCGAATCTTCTTCCTTTCTGGTAATCACCAATTCTGTTATCAGAAATTACAGTTTTGTGTTCTGTTTTGTTTTGTTTTGTTTTGTGTGTGCATTTGCTTTGTTTCTTTATCTTCCACATGAATGAAGCCATGGTTTTTTTTTTTTTCTTTTGTCTGTTTTACTTTGCAGTTTCTCTTAATATTTCATACCTTTTCTGTTTCCTTACTTTGTTTCTACACTTTGTTCACTCAAGATCAACCCTACAAGGAATAATCTAGTCACCTGATTAAGAGGGAGGAATCAATTACTGAAAGCATTGTTAGTTTTGTTCTGTCAGTACCAAATATGACAATCTCTATCATTTAAAGCTACTATCCTCTAGTGCAAGAATATAGTTCTATTCCCATAAGCTAAACTACTGACCTATAGTAACCTTCAGTTTTTGGCAGCATAGTCTGGATTTGAAGCAATGACCTTGAGATAAAAGGCACCGGATAATATGATTAGTCCCCATGCTCTCACAATTCCCTTACTTAAGCAATTCAAGCCCAAAGCAAAGATGCTTAGTTATTCCACTTCCATAGAGGGGCACAAATAAAGGACTTAGTTTTTAAGCTGGGCACAAGTTTGAACCAAAGAATTTAATAACCATAATTTGTTTATTTTTTAATGACTGGAAGCACTCTTAGCCTTCCCTGAAATTGCTTTCCTTTTTATACCTGTCTTACAAGTTATGACCATATTCTACATTACGCCACTCTTGTTGTCTTTCACTAGTGCAGAATATGACATTTTCATCCCCATATATTCCACAGTATTTGGGACAGTAATTCAGTGCATAATAGGTTATTAATGTCTGTTAATTGCATGAATGAGACTTATTTTTAATAGAAGACATACTTAGCTTTAATTACTATAAGAAAACTCAGAAATGTTTCCTCATTGAAAATTGAAATAAAAGTATTAGCTTTTCATACATGGTTTATTTACAAATTTCGTATTTGAATACAGGGCAGAATCTAGATAGTATGCTCCATGGTACTGGAATGAAATCAGACTCTGACCAGAAAAAGTCAGAAAATGGAGTAACCTTAGCACCAGAAGATACCTTGCCTTTTTTAAAGTGCTATTGCTCAGGACATTGCCCGGATGATGCTATTAATAACACGTGCATGTAAGTATTTTATGTAGTCCTTCTTAAAGTTATGAGAATAGGGTTGCATTTAGTGCTATTTTAAAAATTGTTTACATTGTCTTTTTCTTTAGCTTTATGTGGTATCTTTTCAAAGAGCCAGTGTTCTGTATACAGGAACATTTATTACCATTAAGTGAAAGTAAATAAAAGAAATCTGGTATTTGCCCAGCATTTTGAGCTTATTTCGTGATGTTTCTATTATAAAATTATTGATATTTCTCATTGTAGAAAACTTAGATATTACCAAAAAGAAACTATGAAAATTCACCCAGTGGCTTGTAATTCTAAACTGGTTGAAATATTACATATATATGAATTATATTGTAATGTTTATTTAATGTTGCTACTTTCTTACCAATGACAAAGACAAATATTGAACATTTGTGCAATGGATAGTTTTACAAAGTAAAAATACCAAAACTAGTCATCATTAATAAATAATGATGTTTCTGAAGTTTAGAGGGAGAAAGGGTAAAAGGAAGTATAAGGGATGCTGTAAGAAAAAAAGATTATTTTATAGAATTTTGTAAATCCACTCTCTGTGATCACATGTCTATGATTAGCAAAGAAAAATTACATAATAATTCATATTTGGAGAACTTTCATAACAGAAATCCTTTTGCACCAAGATGTGACAACTTTCATTGCTTTAAAACCCATTTTGTTTTGCCAGTAAATTACATGTCATCAGGACCTGGTCAAACTCAAACTCAGATTTAATGAGTACATTTTTATGTAAAGTTCTGATTTTTGGTTTATTGTTTGTTTTTTGTTTTTGTTTTTTTCTTTTAGAACGAATGGCCATTGCTTTGCCATCATAGAAGAAGATGACCAAGGAGAAACCACATTAGCTTCAGGGTGTATGAAATATGAAGGATCTGATTTTCAGTGTAAGGTACGATCTAACTTGGGACCTATTTAATAAAAAAAGGGAGGTCTCACATGAAAAGCATTAATTTCCTCTAGGAGAAGTGTGCATGGACTATACATTGCTATATGTTCTTGTAAGCAAATATATTGGAGGAAACTTAGTTCTTACTTGAAGTGATATGATTGTGGTCATTGAAGCCCCAGATTATTTACTTTTAAAAGAAGTTTTAATGGTTTATTTATTTATTTATACAAGCACTGGGTACAGTCAGAAGCGCAGGAAGGTAAGAGAATTCACCAGAGCCAGAGGGGAGAGCAGAACAGGCAGACTGACGGAATGCACTGCTGAGGGGAGCAGCGGGTGCGGCAGGAGAAGTCTGCTGTGCCATGTGGGACCCTCACCTGGTGGCCGGAGATCGAACCGGCGCTGCAGAGGCTGCGGGCAGCTTCGCAACCCAGCGCTCAACTGCTGCGCCACCGGGGAGGCCCTAAAAAGAAGTTTTAAATAATCTGTTTCCATATTGTCATAACTACAAGGAATGATACTGTCACACTTCTTTGTGGATTATAAGATTGTCTGAAAAGACTAAGGTGATGGGCAAACCCTTGTATCACTGTGGACAACTTAGAAGCATGTTAACGCCTTGTAAGGAGATCTCAGTGAGGTTATTTTAACTCCTTGCATTAGCAAAGAAATCAGCTTATGAACATCCTGGCAGCACTGGGTTATAAACCTAATCTCTTCAAATATTCGTTAAGTAATTTTGCCCTACAGGATCCTTTCAGTATTTTAGAAAAACAACTCTAGATAGGAAGATTTATTTACAAATTTAAGCCTTAGCTATTTTAAAAAATTACTAAGAATTTTAAGAAATTCTCAGGGTTGATAAAAGCTCTAAAGTTTACATATTTCAACGTCTTGGCCAGTGTTTGAAATTCTTACACATACAGTGCTTCCCTTCTGAGTGCCATACCTCTAGTTATAGGGACTGTTATTCCCTGAGACCACCTATTTCATCTCTAGTAATGACCTGACCTGATCCTAGAATGCTTTTCCTGCCAGTGACTGAAAGCCTATCTTCTTCTCTATCACTTTAGAACACAGAGAACAAATCTAGTCCCTGTTTAATATGATGGCCCATTATTCTATAGGAAATGTGTTTTTATTTGATATTGCTTTCCTGCGCACACTATCTAGTCTATACTCAGTGGAAATAATAGTTCACAGTGACTTCAGCTATTCCTTATATGATCAGCTTTAGAGTTACTCACCTTCCCCTTTCTTGGTATAATATGTGCATTGAGTCATGTCTGACTAGAAAAACAGAATAACTGTCTCTTTCTAAACACGGCCAAATCTCACGTTAGGTATTTGTCATACCATATTCTTGGAGCTCTCAGTCAGCTAAAATCTCCATCTTTTTAACTCATGATACTGCAAAGCCACCTCTCTTCCACTCTTTATTGTTAATTTCTTACACATGGGAATGGGATATGTTTTATTATACAATTGTCATATACTTGTCTATGATAGATTTCATCATATCAGAATTAGTCCTTTTCTCTCATTTGTCACTTAAGTGTCATTTTAATCACTTAAAATAATTGAAGAAAGAGCTATGAGTAGTAAAATTAGCTTAGCAGTATTACCCACTGTTTTGCAGGCCTCCTAAATGAGGCATGTCCCAAACTAAATTCACCGAGATGATCGTTGTTAAGCTTGACTGTCTGTTAAAGATCCATATCCCAGCTAGTAAGCTGTGAAACTTTGGGCAAGGAAATTGACTCTTCTGGTGGTTTTCTCATTTGTACAGGAATTGTGGAGTTCAAATGAGATAGCATATATGTAAAAAGTTCAGCACAGCTGACACTCAATGGGGACTTAATAAAGGTCAGCTTTATTATATTGATATAACAGAGCAGTCTTTTAAGTTGAACTATGCATATTCCTGGGTACCCAGGGATCACATCAGCACATGGATAGCTTTAGGGGAATCATTTTATGGATTCTAAACTTCCACGGGTCCTAGTGCTTAATGTTGATCTGCCTGAAACAGGGCTTCTCAAGCAGTTCCTCTTTTCCTTCCTTTTTCACAACCACCCTTCTCACAGTTTATAGAAGGAAGGCCTAAGATTTAAAACCTCATGTTTCCAAACAGTGTTGTAGTTAGAAATCCAAGTATTAGTGTGGAGAATGTGAGGATAGCAGTTTTGTATGCTAGATGGTTTTCAGGTTTTTGCTTTCAATTGGATTGCTAGATCACTGAAAATAATTCTTGATAATAGGATCATTATGGGAGTTTCAGCATAAGATTTAGAAGATCTTTAAACAATTATGGGACATTGTATAATGAACTATTTCCACTAATCACCTTTTTGTTTATGTGTGCAAAATATCTTATTACTGACCCAGTGTTGAAATGTCAGCATTCAAGTGAAGAAGTTGTCAAATACTGTATTGTTAGTCAAATAAAATTTCACGCATAATTGCTCATATTTGTTCCTATAATTAGTCTTTCTCTACTCGTTTTCTGATGAATATCTGGTTGGTGGTCTGTAAAAAGTTTTTTAAGAATATTATTTCTATGTCTTGCCCTTTTCCTCACCAAATATGCTTGCAACTTGCTTCCACTTTGAGTTCATCAGTTTAAACATAGTTGCTAGGGGCCTCCCCTGGTGGCATAGGTGGTTGAGCACAGCACTGTGAAGCTGTCCGCAGCCTCTGCAGCATTGGTTCGATCCCGGCCAGGCGGCCAGGGTCCCACATGGCGCGGCAGACCTCTCCTGTCTCGTATGCTGCTCCCCTCAGCAGTGTATTTCGTCAGTCTGCCTGTTATGTTTCCCACTCTGTCTCTGGTGAATCCTTTCGCTGTCCCGCGCGTCTGGCCTGTACCCCAGTTCTTGTATAAATAAATAAATAAATCTTAAAAAAAAAAAAAACAGTTGCTAACTGGAGAATTTATAGTATCTTCTACCCTACTCAGCTACCTTTTCTATCTTGTCTTTTATTTGATAGGATAGCTTCCACTTTAGTCTGCGCTTATATCTCATTCATCCCTACTGTTTATCATTGTAATAAAAAAATGTTTTAGGAAAAGAGCTCATGATTTGAGTAATTTACTTTTGAACTAAAAACAAATGAATCGTTAGTAAAATATCAAGATAGGCTAAATGTTTTGGTGAAAATGCTTATGAAATGTAATCTGTAGTCCTCCGCAGTGGCGCAGCAGGTTGAGCGCTGCACTGTGAAGCTGTCCGCAGCCTCTGCAGTGTGGGTTCGATTCCCAGCCGGACAGGGAGTTTCCCACATGGTGGGGCAGACTCTCCTGTCTCGACCGCTGCTCCCTTCAGCAGTGTATTTCTGTCCTTCTGCCTGTTCTGCCCCCTACTCTGTCTCTGGTGAATCCTCTCATGCTCCGGCGCCTCTGGCCTGTACCCTATTGTATAAATAAAATATAAATCTTTAAAAAAAAAAAAGAAATTCAATCTGTAATTAAATTATAGTTTGTACATCCTTTTGACTCACTGAATTAGAAATTGTATTTTATTAATTCCTTAAAAATTTATTATCAACTTACTATATCAAACTATTCTAATCGTATCACTGTCCTTCACTAGGATTCACCCAAAGCTCAGCTACGCCGGACAATAGAATGTTGTCGGACCAATTTATGTAACCAGTATTTACAACCTACACTGCCCCCTGTTGTTATAGGTAAGTTAGCCAAGAAAAGTGTGATCAGGATTCTCCGTAAAATATTTTGTCTGGTTTTAACAATAAGCAAGCTCTCTGGAATTCAACACCACAAATTGTTTTTTTGTTTTAATAAAAGCTAATATGTTTATTTCGTTGTTTATTCCCACTGTCAGGTCCATTTTTTGATGGCAGCATTCGGTGGCTGGTCGTGCTCATTTCTATGGCTGTCTGCATAATTGCTATGATCATCTTCTCCAGCTGCTTTTGTTACAAGTAAGAAGATAAATATTATGTTAGATGCAAACAGTTGTTCTTAAAGCCAGTGACAGAAACCATTGGCTATGGAATGTAATTTAGAAATCATTAACTTGCGTTATTTCTCTTTTATGTAACTAAATTATAGTTTTTTGTTTTTTTGTTTTTAAAGATTTACTTATTTATTTATTTATTTAGTTAGTTAGTTAGTTATACAAGCACTGGGTACAATCAGAAGCACGGGAGGGTGAGACAATTCACCAGAGTCAGAGCAGGATGCAGAACAGGCAGAAGGACCGAAGTACACTGCTGAGGGGAGCAGCGGGCGGCAGGAGAGGTCTAGCGCGCCATGAGGGGGCCCCCGCCAGAGGAGGCCGGGGAGCAGCCGGGGATCGAACCGGCACTGCAGAGACTGCGGGCAGCTTCGCAACCCAGTGCTCAACCGCTGCGCCACCAGGGAGGCCCTAAATTATAGTTTTCTTAAAGGAAAAGAGGACCCTTCAACCAGTCAATTAATTGAACACAACTTTGTAATTCTTTTGTGTTCATTAGTACTTATGATTTTGTAACTTAGGGAATATTGAACTTTATATCTGAAAACTTATGATTTATTCCAAGAAACCAACTATGTTATTATTCTTTAGTTACTTGGGACTTCAGAATTATTCACATTTAATCATGATTTCAGAAGACAGCTAGCAAAGAGAAGAGAAATAAAAGGAGACAGGACTTAAACTTCAATGATAAAACTATCTTAGTGGCGTTTGGATAGACGGATCAGTGAAACAGAGTACTGCATGTATAAATGGGCCCCACTGTATAAAGAGATTTAGTATATGACAAAGGTAACATTTCAGATCATTGAAGAAAAACGGATTTTCCAAGAACTGGATATGGAACTAGGTAGCTATATGGAAAAATGAAATTCCCTACACTGAAATAAATTTTAGCCAGATTGGAACTATTTATAAATTTTATACATTAAATGAAATGATATATATGAAATGGCTTAAGTGCTAGAGCAGACCATGAAGAATTTTTTGAAACAATCTGGACACGTGGAAGACCTTTCTTAGTATGAAACAAAACCTAAAATAGGGCCTCCCCAGTGGCTTAGTGGTTGAGCGCTGGGTTTCGAAGCTGCCCGCAGCCTCTGCAGCGCAGGTTCGCTCCCCGGTTGCTCCCCTGCCACTGGAGGAGGGTCCCACATGGTGCGCAGACCTCTCCTGCCGCCCGCTGCTCCCCTCAGCAGTGTACTTCGGTCCTTCTGCCTGCTCTGCTCCCCGCGCTGGCTCTGGTGAATTCTCTCACCCTCCCGCGCTTCTGACTATACCCAGTGCTTGTATAAATAAATAAATAAATCTTTAAAAAAAAAAAAAAACCTAAACAAAAAAACTTTAAAAATAAAAATTTGGGGCCTCCCCGGTGGCGCAGCGGTTGAGCGCTGGGTTGCGAAGCTGCCCGGAGCCTCTGCGGTGCCGGTTCGATTCCCCGGCTGCTCCCTGGCTGCTCCCCGGCTGCTCCCCTGACACTGGAGGAGGGTCCCGCATGGCGTGCAGACCTCTCCTGCCGCCCGCTACTCCCCTCAGCAGTGTACTTCGGTCCTTCTGCCTGCTCTGCTCCCTGCTCTGGCTCTGGTGAATTCTCTCACCCTCCCGTGCTTCTGACTGTACCCAGTGCTTGTCTAAATAAATAAATAAATAAATCTTAGGGGGGAAATTAAATAAATAAATTTTAAAAAACAAAAAAAAATAAAAATTTGGTTGTGTGAATTACCACTATATAAAAATGAAACTTGACTATGGGGCAGCAACTACCATAAGAGCTCAGAAGACACACTACCGCTGAATAATATGGTTAACTCATATTACATACAAAGAGCTAATTTCTTGAATTATGTAGAGCTGGACTATGAAGCTTCTGTAATGAAAAAAGGAAAAAAATCTAGTAACTCATTGGGAAAATAGGCAAAAACCCCACATGATTTATCTCAAAAGAAATAGGTGTGTCTCTAGAATGTTTGGTTAGCAGATCTTTTAAATAAAGAGGCTAATTAAGCAAACGTACTCATTTTTGCTTCCCTCACTAAAACAATAGCTTTTAACTTCTTTGTCCAGTTAGGACAAGGAAAATAGGAGATAAAATGACAGTAAAAAATTTGAAATGTGTGAACCATGGGAACGATTAGTAGTGACTTTGCATACCTAAAAATCTGAATCCTAGGCTAAATTTGAGAAAGCCATAGAGCAACCAACTTATATAATTCCCCAAGAAGCTCAGGAATTGGCAGTAACAGTTATCTCTGGAAGTGAAGTTAAGGGTGGCAGTAAAACCAAGAGGATTAAAGTCTGTTTTTAGAAAATCAGATGCACTGATAGTTATCTAATGCTGCATTAAGAAATATTTCCCCAAGAGGAGGGATTAGGGTCATAATAAGGGGGAGTGGGAATTGTATGGGGAATATAATCAAAATGAAAATGCAGGGCCTCCCCGGTGGCGCAGTGGTTGAGTGCTGGGTTGCGAAGCTGCCGGCGACCTCTGCGGCGCCGGTTCGATCCCCGGCTGCTCCCCGGCCACCTGAGGAGGGTCCCACATGGCGCGCAGACCTCTCCTGCCGCCCGCTGCTCCCCTCAGCAGTGTGCTTCGGTCTTTCTGCCTGCTCTGCTCCCCGCTCTGGCTCTGGTGAATTCTCTCACCCTCCCGCACTTCTGACTGTACCCAGTGCATGTATAAACAAAAACAAACAAATAAATAAATAAAACATGCCTCTATTTAAAAATAAATAAATAAATAAATAAAAAAGAAAATGCATACGTTGTGCAAAAATGAAAAATGATGTAAGAATTATGTAAAATAAAATAAAGAAATAAAATAAAGAAATACCTCCCCAGCTGAGTGGCTTCAAACAGCAATTATAATATCTTGTTATTTCTGTGGATCAGGAATTTTCAAGGGGGACTTGCTTGGGTGACTCAGGATCTTTCATGAGTTTCCAGTCAGTTGTCAACAAAGACTGTGTTCTCCAGAAGGCTTGACTTTAACTGGCAGATTGCCCTTCCAAGGTGCTCACTTCCAAGACTTACAGGTTGGCAGGAAACATTAGTTCCCCTCACATGAGTCTTTCTGCAGAACTCCTTGTTAGAATGTCCTCATAGCATGAAGCCTGGCTTCCCTTCAGATTGAGTGATGCAGAAGATGAAAGTAGAGACTGCAGTGCTGTTTATGGAAGTCACACTACTCTGCCACGTTATTTTGGTCATACAGCTTAGCCCTACTGCATTATGGAAGGAAACTAAACAAGCACGTGTATACCAGGAAATGAGATCATTTCTTACACCAGATTCCATAGACGTTGAGATATCCCTACTTCTGTTCTAAATAATAATGTGACTTTCCTATCATCTCCCTAGCAGAAGGCTAAAAGTATATTCTCTGGAAAGAACAAAAATGAGATTAGTAGTTTGGCGTATCTACAATGTTAGCTGAATTTTTTTTATAAGATACGATTTGCTGCCCATAGCAAACCATAAAAAGATAAGACTGAAGTTGAGGGCTGTATCTTTATACATATTTAGTCTCTTATGTACTTTAATACCTTGTTTTACTTTTTTTCTGATGACTATTCTCTTTGAGTTTAGAAAAATCTAATTTTTGTATTCTTCTTGATTCTGATTTATATACATGATACCAACCTTCAAAATCAATAGATTCTTTAAAATCTCCTCTCTGACCATCAGCTCCCTTCATTCTGGATCACATAAAATTTCTGATATGAAATTTCTATATTTTTTTCTTTGACTCTTATAGAGCTTGTCAGATACCATGTCTATGTAACTTTTAAAAACAGGAATATAGGGCCTCCCCGGTGGCGCAGCGGTTGAGCGCTGGGTTGCGAAGCTGCGCGCGGCCTCTGCGGCGCCGGTTCGATCCCCAGCTGCTCCCCGGCCACCAGAGGAGGGTCCCACATGGTGCGCAGACCTCTCCTGCCGCCCGCTGCTCCCCTCAGCAGTGTACTTTGGTCCTTCTGTCTGTTCTGCTCCCTGCTCTGGCTCTGGTGAATTCTCTCGCCCTCCCGCGCTTCTGACTGTACCCAGTGCATGTATAAACAAAACAAACAAACAAACCAGCAAACAAATAAATAAAGCATGCCTCTATAAAAAAAAAAAAAAAAAAAAAAAAAAAAACAGGAATATAGAACTTCCATAAAAAATATAAAGTTATAAAAATAACCACAGGAGTGTGGATGAGAGCATGTGGAAAATGAGCACTCTCATCTAATGGTGGAGAAACAAGGAAGTCAGTAGAGCATTCCATCAAAACTCCAAATTCAGTTCTAACTTGCAGCAGTTTATACTAGAAATACGCCAAAAAAGGGACCAGTCATTCAGCTTTGTATGAAATAAAACTAGAAACAATCTAAATGTTACTGGTAGGGAGTGGTTCACAGCAATATAATGAACTGTTCCTTAGCCATTAAAGAAAAGAAGGCTCTTTATTTACTGCTATGGAATGATCCCTTAGATGTATTTATTGCTCAGTAAGATGCAGAACATTATGTATCATCTACTACCATTTCTGGAAGGAAATTTTTAAAAAGTGGACATGAATAGCAACATACATATTTTTGTTTGAATATAAATGTTCTCTAGAAGATTACCCCAAGCCCTGTAAATAGTCCTAGTTCCAGGTTCCTTCTAGAAAAATGCACTTCATGATTTAGGGAGAAGGATGGAGGAACATTTTCACTCTACACCCTTTGTGCCTTTTGAATTTTAAACCATTTAAGTAAAGCACCCATATAAATATTTAAAAATCACAAAATGGTTAAGTAGATGGGGCTGTCCATAGGAAAGCAATCTAATTTGATTCCCTAATTTCTATACTTATAAGTTCAAAATGGATTAAAAGAATAAATGAATCAAAATTTTAAAACCTAGAAAAGAAAACGTGTTTATGACTTTAGGGTTGGGAAGGGTTCTTAAACAGGGCATAAAAGTATATATTTAAAAGTAGGGGAAAGATTATCCACTTGAATATTGCGCAAAAAGTATCACCAGGCAGTTCACAGAAAAGAAGTTGAACTGTAAATAAAAAAATTATAAACCTCCCTAATAATGAGGGAGAAGCAAATGAAAACAAGTCACTACATAGCTATAACGTTTGCCAAAGACTAAAAATACAACACTTCCAAATTTGGGCTGGTATGTGGAGAAATGAATGTTGTAATAATATGCTTTTGGTGAAAGTATAAATTAATTCATTTTGGAGAGCAATTTGATGATAACTGATAAAATTGAAAGTGTAAATTTAATACATTTATGTGAGATAAGCACAATTTTTTTTTTGAGACACAATTTAACAAACTTTTGTAAATAATTAAAATGTGGCTGTCACTGGGCCTCCCCAGTGGCGCAGCGGTTGAGCACTGGGTTGCGAAACTGCCTGCAGCCTCTGCAGCACCAGTTCGATCCCCGGCTGCTCCCCAACCACCAGAGGAGAGTCCCACATGGCGCGCAGACCTCTCCTGCCGCCCGCTGCTCCCCTCAGCAGTGTATTTCGTCCATCTGCCTGCTCTGCTCCCCGCTCTGGTGAATTCTCTCACCCTCCCGCGCTTCTGACTGTACCCAGTGCTTATATAAATAAATAAATAAATAAATAAATAAATAAATAAATAAATAAATAAATAAATCTTTAAAAAAAAAAAATGTGGCTGTCAGGATAAGTTGTAGCAAATTGGTAACAGGAACACTAGACACCAAAAAAATCATTTCCTCTGCAGAGTGAGTAAGATCATGGATTCCAGATGTAGGCTTTTGGGTTTAGATCCCAGCTTTACCAGCTGACCAGCTAACTATTGGCCATGGGACAGATGATGACTCTCTGGGCTCCTCGTTTATAAAGTGGAAATGATAGTATTACCTCTTAGGAATTTTGTAAAAATGAAGTGAGTCACAGAACTATGTAAAACTTGGTATTAGTAAAAATTAACTTTTTTTTTAACAAGGATAAATATGTAAGACATGAGTATTTTTTAAAACAAGGCATAAAAATATTGACACAACATACAGCACTGACATAAATTTGTATCCACAGAAATAATAGTGCTTATGCAAAAACGGACAATTATAAATCAGACATACTGCAGGGAAGGAGGAGGGAGAGGCATCAGAGGAAGGGAGGGAAGAGCACAGGGGACTGAGGTGATGGTGCACGGGTGCAATGGTGAAGGGAACTCTATGGGGACTACACCTGAGGGGGTGGGGGTAAGCAAATATTGTTTAAAAATGGACAATGATATAAAAAAATTAATATTAAAAAATAAAATCAATGTAAAAAAATGATAGTGCTTGTGAATATATTTTTTTTTTTCATGCTGAAAGTATGAAGATGGAGATAGGAAGGAGATGACCTCTTTCATGATAGTGCTTGCCTCTTAGAAATTATCAGAGAAAAGGCTAGAGCTTCAAATATTTCTAATGTTTATTTAAAATATGTCTAAAATAAATATAATGTTAATGTTTATAAATAAATATAAGTGGTCTACACGTGGGTGCCTATTAATCTTTCCCTGTGTACTTGAAATATTTCATAATTTAAAATTTTTAAATAAAAGTCTTGAAAAATATCAAAATGAATTAAGAAAACTTCTTTTCTTTTTCATATTCTTAAAATGGAAATATTTATTGTTCATTTTGATGCAAAAGTAAATTTACTATTCATTTTGTTACAAAATATTATAAATTCAAATGAAAATACATAAAGTTGAATGTAAATGTTCCTAAACCCCCAGAAGTAACTATTATCTTCAATTTATCCTTTCTGATCTTTTTAGACAAATATATATATATATATTTTCATTTATGTAAGCTATATAAACAAGTAATATAAAATTTATAGCTCTAATCACATCTTTATGTTTTATCACTTGCTAATACACCAGGGACACCTTTCCATTTGAACATAATATATAGAACCCTACCTCATAAACTCCATTTCTGGATATATTTTAACAGAGGAAACGTTACCTTAGAGAAGACTAACTAGGATATGATCCTGTCTGAAGGAAGGGTCATGGTGTTAACTTCATTTGTTTTTTGTTTTTTGTTTTTTTAATTTTTAGAAGATTTTTCTTACCTCAGTATTTTATAGTCTTAGAATTTTAATGTAGGTTATTCTCTGCTTTTTTAAAAGACATTATTGCAAGAGCATCTCAAGCAGACGTCGTTATAATCGTGATTTGGAACAAGACGAAGCATTTATTCCAGTTGGAGAATCATTAAAAGACCTTATTGACCAGTCACAAAGTTCTGGTAGTGGATCTGGATTACCTTTATTGGTAAGATAAAATATCATATAAACAGGAATGGTTTGTTGATACAGAACATGTCCTCCTATGATAAGAGACAGCATAATTATTTCAAATTAGGGAGCATTACTAGGCACAGTTTCCATCTTACTTAGAAAGATGGCTGTATTAATACAAGGTGAAATTAGAAAAAAATAAATATAAAACAAAAATAGAATAGACCATTAAAATAGATTTATAAGCAAGTTAGAAAAGAAAATATGGTCAAAGTGTGGCATGTAACTTGTTAGTTAGCTAGCACATTTTGTTTTTAACTGCCAACTTGAAGAGGAATCAGATATGAGATTCCTTGTATTTAAATGGTTAAACCGGTTGGGAGAAGTATGAGTATTTCAGACTCTGAAATCAAAGGAAAGTATCTCCCCCAGATCTTCGTAGAGAGGATACTTGCCTTAACATAGTATTATTTATAACCAATACACATTTCATGAAAATAAATTTAAGAGAAATTGTAAGTAATCCTCAGAAGGCTATAAGTATGGAAATATTCAGATTTAGGGGTTGAAAGGACCCTTACAAAAAACATTAGATATCCATTTAGATTTTTAATAGTTTAACCACATTTGGTCAAAGTAAATACATTTGATTTCTAATTTAAAATTACATCTAATTTAATAATTCTGTAACTGAATTGGAAAAATAAAAGTATGAATGTCTCTATAAATGAACAACACAATTATATAGAAAATCTCAAGGATGACAGCATAAATCTGTAACATCCAGGAAGTGAGTTAATTAGGATTGCAGAATATAAAGTCGTTGTACAAAAACCACTGAATATATACACAGTAGCAACAATTAGGAATTAAAATTTTATGGCACTTTTATTCAAAACAATGTCAAATCATGAAACATTTTGGAATAAGTTTAACAAAATTTATGCACATTGAAAATTAGAAAACGCCAAAATAAACTGAACTACAATTTGTGGGGCCCGGAAGGATTGACTTTAAAGAGACAACAAAGAACTTTCAGGGGTGGTGAAATTGTTCTGTATCCTTTTTTTTTATATTTATATATTTTATTTTGTGTGTAGAAGAACTGGAGTGTAGGCCAGAGGTGTGGGGAGTGAGAGCATTCACACAGACAGAGTAGGGAGCAGAATAGGTGGATTTACTGAAATACACTGCTAAGGGGAGCAGTGGGAGAAACAGGAGAGCTTTGCTGTGCCATATGTAGGATAGCTCCCTGGCTGGGCATGGAACTCAGGCCATAGTGGTGATAGTTCTGAGACTTAACCCCTAGGCCAACAGGGAGGCCCTGTATCTTAATTGTAGTGGTAGTAGTTACATGGCTATACATTTGTCAAAATGCTAACCTGTTTATAAAAAGAGTGAGTTTTATTATATGTGAATTTAAAAAATTGCAAAAGGAGGCGCCTCCCCTGGTGGCACAGTGGTTGAGCACTGGGCTGCGAAGCTGCCCACAGCCTCTGCAGCGCATTTCGATCCCCAGCCACCAGCAAGGGTCCCACATGATGCACAGACCTCTCCTGCTGTGCCCGCTGCTCCCCTCAGCAGTGTACCTCGGTCCTTCTGCCTGTTCTGCTCCCCGCTCTGACTCTGGTGAATTCTCTCACCCTCCCGTGCTTCTGACTGCACCCAGTGCTTGTATAAATAAATAATAAAAAAATTTTTTTTTTAAGATTTTTTAATTTATTTGTTTATACAAGCACTGGGTACAGTCAGAAGCACGGGAGGGTGAGAGAATTCACCAGAGCCAGAGCAGGGAGCAGAGCAGGCAGAAGGACCGAAGTACATGCTGAGGGGAGCAGCTGGTGGCGGGAGAGGTCTGAGCGCCGTGCGGGACCCTCCTCCGGTGGCCAGGGAGCAGCCAGGGATCGAACCGGCGCCGCAGAGGCTGCGGGCAGCTTCGCAACCAGCACTCAACCGCTGCGCCACCGGGGAGGCCCCCTAAATAAATAATAAAATCTTTAAAAAAAAATTGCAAAAGGATTCTGTAGTGATAAAGAAAGTCATTGCACAAAATCTAGCCCATTTTAGGTGCATTTCCAACCTGGACTCTAGTGTTCTTTTTAACGTACATTGGCCACTAACACCTCTGAAAATGCAAGGTGGCAGTGTACATCTTTAATTCAATAAATATTAATGAAAATGCTTATTGTATTCATTGCAAATAAGTATCTGTAGTCTGTGAGTGGAGGTAATGGAATTCAAACAACTATGTATTTAAGTAAAAAATTTTTAATTGTGGTAAATGTAACAACTGAGTATAGGTGTTATGAAGGTGTTAACAGAGAAAAACAATACCCGGATCTCCCTAGTGGCCCAGGTGGTTGAGCAGAGCACTGTGAAGCTGTTCACAGCCTCTGAGTTCCATCCCGGCCAGCCAGCGAGAATCCCGCATGGCGCAGCAGACCTCTCCTGTCTGGCCAGCTGCTCCCCTCAGTAGTGTATTTCATCAGTCTGCCTGTTCTGTTCCCCACTCTGTCTCTGGTGAATCCTCTCACCCTCCCACACATCTGGCCTGTACCCCAGCATTTGTATAAATAGATCTTAAAAAAAAAAAACCTCAAGGGAACTGCACATACAAAAAGACTCTGAGACAAAAATGAGCTTCAGTGAGTTCTACAACTTGAAAAAGTGTAAATAAGAGGACTAGGGTAGATGATTATAGTGAATGTTGAGGCTAGAGAGTTAGGCAGAGGCCCAATCATGTAGGGATTTAGACTGAGTTAAAAGATTTTTAACTGTCATTTAGATTTTGTTAAATAATAAATCATTCCAAAGTTGAGTAGCCTGAAGCAACGGAACGGGTCAGTCCTTGCCCAAAGCAAGTCATGTAGCCAAGCCCAGTTTCTCTGTGGAGATAACCCAAGGGTGTTTGTGCTGGGAGGGAAGTTATTTTGACCCTTTTTGCAAACAGTCTGCCACGTAGATTAATTTGTGATTTCAAAATATATTGTACATTGTTTCGTCTCCTTTAAAATACATTATAAATTTTAACATTTGAGGTGGTCTGTTGTATATACCATCCTTTCTTATGAGATGGGCTATCAGACTACTTTCTAGGTCTGAATAGATAGGTTCCTTTCATCAAGCATTCAAAACATTTCACCTTTTTCTTTGAAGGTTCAGCGAACGATTGCCAAACAGATTCAGATGGTTCGGCAAGTTGGTAAAGGTCGATATGGAGAAGTGTGGATGGGCAAATGGCGTGGTGAGAAAGTGGCAGTCAAAGTGTTTTTTACCACTGAAGAAGCTAGCTGGTTTCGAGAAACAGAAATCTATCAAACTGTGCTCATGCGCCATGAAAATATACTTGGTGGGTACACATTTGATTTCAGTCAATTCAGTTGCTAAGGTTGGTGGGATGCAGGTGGAAGCCTGCCATGTGAGCTTTTTGAAACCAAGTAGAGAATACACAAGTTAAATACAGTCCTCAATGCCAGCCAACCACTTTGTTACCCAACCAAGGAAACTGCGGTGGCTTTCAAATTAGAAGTAATGCTAGTTTATTGGATTTGCTAATATACTAATGAATGTCAGTCTTTCATAGGTCATTTAATCAGTTTTCTAGGGTCCCCTTATCTCTCTGTACCTTTGCTTCTGTAAGCTTAAATCATCCACTCCTGGTTTACATGCTAGCAAAATAACTTAGGTATGATCTCATTACTAGAATGCATAAGCATGCCTAGCTTTTCTACCTTCTTTTCAGCAACTGTTTATCTTTTACTTTAGAATGCATAGCTCGTTGCCGTTCATGACTGAGCATATAGTAAGCGATTATAACAAATTATCACATACTAGGTGGCTTAAAACCAGAAACTTATTCTCCCAGAGTTTTGGAGGCTAGAAATTTAAAATCAAGATACTGGCAGGACCATGTTCCCTAAAGGTTCTAGGGGAGGAGTCTTCCCTGCCTTTTCCTGGCTTCTGTTGATTGTCAGCAATCTTTTGCTTTTTGTGGCTTGTAAACAACACTCCTGTCTTTGTGTCATCACATGACCTCCTCTATGTCCAAATTTCACTCTTCTTAAAAGGATAGAAGTGATTGAATTAGGCCATCCTAATGTAGTGTGACCTCATCTGATGTGATCACATCTGCAAAGACCCTACTTCCAAATAAGGTTACCTTTAAAATGACAGGTGAACCTGAATTGGGAGGGAACACTGTTCAACTCAATGCTTACCTTCTGAGGGAAAAAAGAGAAGAAACAGAGACCAGTGCTGTGGACCTACCGCTCGGCCAGCAAGACTGAAAAGGCGAATTAGATGAGGCATTGGTGGGCAAAAGGCAGCTGACTTAGTAACAGACTCTTAGTTGACACCTTTAATTATTCTGAAGTGTTCACTTCGCACTCTGAAACTGAGAACCTTTCTCCGTTCCTCCTTACAACTTTTCATGTTTAGAGAATCATGTAGGTAATATTCCCCCACGTATATGTGATCTTTTCCCCTTGTCATTTTATCTTCTCATGATTATCATTAAAAGTATTTTAAACTTACTGTAGAAGTGTAAAGTTACATTTGTAAATGTAGGCATAAAAACTGTTTTAACACATTCAAGAGATTTTGTCAGGTAAATTAAGTTTTTATTTACTGTAAATGATACCTAAATTATTCTCAATATCCTTAAATGAACTGTCATTCTTTTTAGCCTCTTCTGATAACTCATCTTTTAAATTTGAACAGGTTTTATAGCAGCAGACATTAAAGGTACAGGTTCCTGGACACAGCTCTATTTGATTACTGATTACCATGAAAATGGATCTCTCTATGATTTCCTGAAATGTGCCACACTAGACACGAGAGCCCTGCTCAAGTTGGCTTATTCAGCTGCCTGTGGTCTGTGCCATCTCCACACTGAAATTTATGGCACCCAAGGAAAGCCTGCAATTGCTCATCGAGATCTAAAGAGCAAAAACATCCTTATCAAGAAGAATGGAAGTTGCTGTATTGCTGACCTTGGCCTTGCTGTTAAATTCAACAGGTGAGTGGTCTTTGCCCACTGTTCTGAAATTATTTTAAGCTCCAGAAGTTGTTTCCCTATTTGTATTCAGGACAATGGAATTCCAAACGTGAATTTATGTAACTTTACATAGTTATATAAATATAGTTGTGGTTTTTATGTGTTGTTTTTTAAATAAAAATTACATCATATTCAATGTAATTCTTGATTTCCCCCTTTTTATTTATCTTATATATCCTTTATTTCAATTTATGTAGATCTGTTTCATTTTTTTAAGTGTTAATACAAAGTTTTCCATAATATGGATATTTCATCTATCACCCAACTGATGGGTGTAAAAAAATTACCTGCAATTTCTCGGTTATTAGGAAAATGCCTAACAATGAACATTGTTTTTTACCCCCTTTATATTATACCCTTGGACACTTGTGCAAGTTTTTCTTCATGATGAATTCTTGGAGAAGGGATAAAGAGTATATAATACTAAGTTACAGCATGCTGCAAGTTATCCCTTCAGAAAGGGTGAATCAATTTATATTCTCATAAGCAGGCTATAAGTATGCCATTTCTCCATCACAACTTAATATTGTCAATATTTTTAAACAGTTGGTATTAGTAAAGTTTTAGGAAAACTGTAAGAATTATTTTCATGTATCTATAATACAGCAGCTTTTCCACATTTCAGAATTCATTTCAAACCATCAAATAAAAGTACTTGTTCAGGACCTCCTTGGTGGTACAAGGGGTTAAGTCTCAGAACTGTCAAGCTTTCACCAGCCACTGCAGCATGAGTTCAATCCCCTGGCCTATGAGCTAACCCACATGGTGCAGTAGACCACTCCTGTCTCGCCCACTGCTCCCTTCAGCAGTGTATTTCAATAAATCCCCCTGTTCTGCTCCCTACTCTCTCTCTGGTGAATCCTCTCACCCCCTGCACCTCTGGCCTGCACCCCCATTCTTGTATGCATAAATAAATAAATAAATCTTTATAAAAATAAAAGTATTTGTCCATAATAAAACAAATATTAAAAAAAAATCTTCCCTAGTAGTTAACAGTATTAGAACCCTGGTGGTTGTTTTTTTTTTTAACCAACTATTATTGATTGGCTCAAATATTTATCAGATGCAGTATAAGAAAATATGTATTATATTAATCTCTAACTTCAGAGTACTTTTCAGAACCTGCCAGAACTGGGAACAAAGCAATAGCACATTCATATTTTATAACTCTAGAATTTAGTATAAAAATTGGAAAATAGGTAGACATCATTCATTATTGTTAGTATGATTCTGTAGATATTAGTCATTACAGAACTAAGTTATTTGGACCTGTAAAGATGGAAATGAGTCCTAATTCACAAAAATTGAGTTTATCACATGAGGATGATAAAAGCAAGTGATTCCTCTCAATTTTCATATTCACTTATTCTGGGCACATAATTAACACTTTTTCTTATATTTAGTATTGTCCTTTCTTAGACCTATTGATAAACCTGACCTTAGGGCCTCCCTGGTGGCCTACGGATTAAGTCTCAGGGCCATCACCTCTACAGCCTGAGTTCAATCCTCAGCCAGGGAGCTGACCCACATGGTGCAGCAGACCTCTCCTATCTCGACCACTACCCCCTCAGCAGTGTAATTCAGTAAATCCACCTGTTCTGCTCCCCACTCTGTTTCTGGTGAGTCCTCTCACCCCTCCCTGTCCCCCACACCTCTCACCTACACCCCAGTTCTATGCAAAAACAAAAATAAAATATTAAAAATTGACCTAAATTGATGAAAAGTATTTATTATGAATATTCATATTTAGTTTTTCACTACAAACATAGTAATGAGTGATTCACAGTGATGCTCCAAACCCTGCTGAGAGTATTATATGTAACATATATTTAAAGGGTCTATTACTTTTCTAAAATATGAAAGATACTAAATTTCAAAATATGTCTGGCCCCAAGGATTTCTTTTTTTTTTTTTTTGGTGGGACCCTCGCCAGCGGCTGGGGAACGAACTGGCGCTGCAGAGGCTGCAGGCAGCCTCGCAGCCCAGCGCTCAACCGCTGCGCCACCAGGGGAGGCCCTGGCCCCAAGGATTTCTGATAGGGAATGTGAAGAGATAAAGAAACTGACTGACTTTTACAAGATGTGACAAAAATAAAAAAGTATCTTGTTCTTAGCCCTAACCTGGACATTGTCTTTTGTTTCAGCGATACAAATGAGGTTGATATACCCTTGAATACCAGGGTGGGTACCAAACGCTACATGGCTCCAGAAGTACTAGATGAAAGCCTGAATAAAAACCATTTCCAGCCCTACATAATGGCTGACATCTATAGCTTTGGCCTCATCATTTGGGAAATGGCTCGTCGTTGTATCACAGGAGGTAGGAGTTTAGGAAGTATGTTTATGTTTATGTTTATGTACTCCTCTTTCAAAAAATAATAGCTACAATTATATAATTTGATGTCATATAAGGCAGGGATCCCCAAGACCACTCCCAGGTTCTATGATTTCTTCAAAGGAATCAGTGTATAGTTGTCCTCACAGCTGAGATTTATTAACAGTACAAATCAAAATCAACAAAAGGAAAAAGTGCATGGAGAAACATTAGAGGAAATCAGGTACAAGTTTCCAAAAGTCCTCTCCCAGTGGAGTCACTCAGGATTCACTTAAAATTCCTCCGGCAGTGAACTGTCTTGGATAGTAAGTGAAATGTTGTCGTCTAGGGAAATCCATTAGAGACTTTGACCCCAAAGATTTTACTAGAGCACCCTCTGCCTAGCATGTACCAAAATTCCAAGTTCCTAGAAAGAAAGCAGGTATTCAGTATTAACCATAATGTTGTACAAATAGTCGTGTACAGTGAGCTACCCTTAATATATAGGTAAAGTTTTGTAATCATGTAGGGAACTCTTTATAGACAATCTTGCAGGCAAACTTTTCTAAGGATAACATTTTTAATTCTCTTTTCTGAATATCATATTGTCATGATATCGTATTGTCATAACCCCTTGTGACGCAGGGATTAAAGTCTCAGCACTATCAAGCTATCACCAGCCACTGCAGCATGAGTTCCATCCCCAACCAGGGAGTTAACTCCTGTCTTGTCCACTGCTCCCCTCGGCAGTGTATTTCAGTAGATCTGCCTGTTCTGCTCCCCATTCTGTCTCTGTTGAATCCTCTCACACCCTGCACCTCTGGCCTACACCCCAGATCTTCCATGCATAAATAAAAATAAATCTTTAAAAAATATATATCATGTTGTCATTCCAGCGCAAAATAGAAACAAAAAATAAGATTACACTCATTAGTAGAAAATTATCTGCATAAGTAATAAAACTTTAGGGTAAGGAGCCTCCCCAGTGGTGCAGCGGGTTGAGTGCAGAACTGTGAAGCTATCAGCAACCTCTGCAGCATGGGTTCGATTCCCGGCCGGCCAGGGACATTCCAACATGGTGTTGCAGACCTCTCCTGTTTCGCTCACTGCTCCCCTCAGCGGTGTATTTCGGTCGTCTGCCTGTTCTGCTCCCCGCTGTGGTAAATCCTCTCATCCTCCCACATCTCTGGCCTGTACCTCCACTCTTGTATAAAAATAAGTAAATCTTTAAAAAAAAAACAAAAAAAAACTTCAGGGTTCATGAGCATTTCACTTTGCCTTTTTTAAAGTGATATTGGCATATCCACAGTCCTGATAGAGACCCTGATTTACTGTTAAAATTCAATTATCCACTCCATAAATATTTTCTTCTTTATATAAGAATCTGTTTTACTTTCATAGTTTAGCAAGAGATGCTGAATAAGTATTTTGTCCAACCACCATTTTTTTGCCCACCATGTCTTCTCCCTCCCTGCAGGCATAGTAGAAGAATACCAATTGCCATATTACAACATGGTGCCCAATGATCCATCATATGAAGATATGCGTGAGGTTGTGTGTGTCAAACGTTTGCGGCCAATTGTGTCTAATCGATGGAACAGTGATGAAGTAAGTGGAAGTCAGTCCCCTGAGGAGGTGATTGGTAAATGTTGCCAAAACTACCTGCTCACTGCTTTCTCTGTACTTCACAGTGTCTGCGAGCAGTTTTGAAGCTGATGTCAGAATGCTGGGCCCATAACCCAGCCTCCAGACTCACAGCTCTGAGAATCAAGAAGACACTTGCCAAGATGGTGGAATCCCAAGATGTAAAGATTTGACAACTAAACAATAGTGGAGAAATTCTAGATGCAAAAACTATTTTCACCCAAGGATTGGGTGGAGTTAGAATAGAATAAGGGTGTTAACTTGGTTCTCAGACTCTTTACTCACTACACCTTCACAGGCTGCTAAATACTAAACTTTTCAGTACTCTGTAGAATACAAGCTGGGAACTTCAAAACACTTCATTCTTTATATATGGACCGCTTTATTTTAAATGTGGTTTTTGATGCTTTTTTTTATTGGGTTTTTATGAACTGCATCAAGACTTTAATCCTGATTCATAAGTCTCCAGTCAAACTCTGGGTACTGAATTATTTGTTCATAAGTGGTGCTTTCTGTGAAAGCCTTAAGAAGATAAATGAATTCAGCAGAGATGGAGAAATATACACTTTTGCCTTCTACCTGAGAAAGTTTAATCTATTTGTATTCTACCTTTGTAAACAGCCTATGGATCACCATCTGTTTGGAATACTGCTTAGTTTGTCATGTCTTGATAATGATTGTGTGTGTGTGCACATGTGTGCATACCAGAATTCCTCTGCTGCCATTTGAATTAGAAGAAAATAATTTCTGATTGCACAGAAAGATACTGGTGGCTCTTGGTTTTGCGCTTTAAAAATGCATTATCTGAGCAAGATTCGCCAATTGCATAAAAGCCACTTAACCTTGCAAGTGAGCTAGCTTCTCTACCAACTTTATTTTTAACATAAAAGTTGATGTAAAGGCCAAAAGAAGTTGAAAGTGTCCGTTAAATTTGGACTGTTTTCCTCCTACCACGATCTTTTTTTGTTGTACTGTTACTTTTGTCATGAAAAGTACCCTTTCCAAAGGTGGAATTTTCAATGCCATGAACCCTCTAAAGAAAACACTTCTTTTGAAGTGCATTACTAATTACTGCATTTGATAGATAGAAATGTAAGTGCCTATAACCATGTTCTGTATTCTTTATTCTTAGTAAACTTTAAAAGGGAAGTTATTTATATTTTGTGTGTAATATGCTTTATTTGCAAAACACCTGCTCTTTACAACCATATTTTTTATATGTACATATATTCATACTGTAGAAACCTGCTCACATTTACCTCACACCCCATCCTTAAGGGAAAAAAATTAAAAGATTGTCCAAAAAGTTACTAAGTATGAATTACTATACATATGGATTAATGCTTTCAAAGTAGCATTAGGATTTTTTTCACCTAACGCAGAAACTCATTTAAGATAACATCTCAGTTTTCCTTTATGAAAGAATATTCTAATTACAGATTTACATTTCAGAACTGAAATGAATGTCTCAATGGCTGTTTTATATGTTTAAATCATTTGAAATTGGGGATTTTATGATTTCTCTTCCATACTTGCTAAGATAAGAACCATGCAAAAAGATTCAGCATCTATAGCTATACTGTATAGTTTTTATTCAATAAAATGCCACATATTTTATAGATGCCTTATTATCCCAAGGAGTAATTCTGATTTACTTAAACTCATTATACTTCTGTAATGCCTTTAAAATGTTAGTGTCTTATTCTGAATAGTGAGTGCATCAAGTGAGACAGATTTCTTTGGATATGACATAAAATGTGATCACATAGTCAGAAAACTTTAAAGGGAAGGAATCAGTATGTATGCATTCATTACCAAAAATTTGACTGATATTTAAGGTTAAAACTTACTTATATTTATGTATACATCATTTCACAAATTTGAAACTTTAACCATTTTGACTAAGTATAATAATTTTCACCTAACAAACTTTTAAGTGTTCATCAAGATAAGTAAATTTACATGTTGGTGGTACCCAATAACTTGCTTTTTCAGTATGTTTTCTCCATTTCTGTACTGAGGAATATGGATATTTTAATCTAAATTACCATATGATTTAAGAACACTGATGAGTTCTGATCTATTTAATCTAAGGTTAACCCTGATTTATTTTTTATTTGATTACCTGTAACTCTTGAAAATCATTTGTCATCTTAATAATAAAATATTTAAGGAAAGACAAACACAGTTCTTAGCAATGTTGAAAAAGTATGTGGAAGCAACAGATTATAGTTAGTATATTAAGGCCAGTATAATGTTTTTTAATTAAATTGATCTACTGAAAGTGATACCACAAATAAACTTTGGAAATTAATTTAATAAAAACACTTTCTGGTATCACACGTTCCGAAAAAGCAAATACTACCACTTGGATGCAATCCTAATGTCTTGAAAAAGTTGCATGCAACTTGTTTTCTTCTCTCCTCCTCACTCGTACTCTAAAATTATTCAAAATGTATCCAGTACATGAATTAAAGGGGGTATTTTATGAAGTACCATAGTTAATAAATCATAAAACTCTAGACATCATTATTTAGTCTCAGTTACCACTTACCAGTTTGAAAATATGTGACTTCTTTCAGTCAGCCGTAATTAAAACAAACAAAAATCTAAGCTACCTGAATAAATAGCAAAAGTTAACCATCAATGAAAATTCTTAGGAATCCTTTTCATACTAGTAAATATTTATAGAATTAAAGGCATACTTTTATGGGGTTCTTTGAGTTTAAACTTCTCCTGTGCTTTCTTACTAAAGTTTCTAAAATACAAAATTTGAATCTAATTTCTCTGTATTTTCACAAAAGATATTTCCACCAACAGTTAGTTTTTGAAAATTGTTTTCCTAGAATGTGCCAGATTTTTTAGGTATTCCATTCACTCAAAAAAAAAAAAAATTGAATACTATTTTTCCCCCAGTGTTTTGCTTCTCTTTAAAACAAAAATGCAAGGTTATTTTTAAAAAATTGGGCATCTCTAAGTTGATCCAAGATCAAATTTAATATTGAATAATTTCTCCTAGGGGAGTTTATAAATTAAATCACTTGTATTTTTCATACACATTGCAATGTTTCTACATGTCTAAAATAATTTCAAAAGCAGAATTAATGATTGATTTTTATTTTTTAATGGTTGCAACTCTTGCATTGTTTAAAAGTGATACTATTGCTTGAGTCAGATGTTAAAATAGCAGTGCAGCAGTCCCTCTTCTTGCCTCAGTGCTGTCAGAGTCAAAACTGCAGGGAGCAGACATTTTCATAAAAACCAAATTAACACTAGGGCAGCGTCATATGAAGCAACATGTAATGATTGTCCCATACGGAAAGTATGTGAATACTGTTTTTGCAAAGGATGAAATATATTACTGTAATTTTAGCTTGTGCTCTGTACTATGCTTTCAGTGATTTATTTAAGCCCTTTTAGTGACCATTGTCCTTGTCCATTTAAAAACTAAATCATAGTAAATATTGTATAAAATGAAAATGTCATTATAGCTTAATTAGGGAACCTGTATATAGACATTGAAAAAAGGGTTAAAAGCAGTTTTATTATGCAATTGTAAAACACCAAAATATAGATTTCATCTTTGATATGTAACACACTATAAATGTATTTTGTACAGCATCTGGTTTAAAAGGTGCCTTAAGTTTACCATTAATTGCTTTGTTCTATATATAGATTATATCCAATGTATCATTTTTAAGTAAATAATCTTATTTTAGTATACTTTAGTGATGTGTTTTGTGATATTCTACTTAAATTGTATTATGTATCTGAAGTCACATGTCTGGTGAAATTTTATAACAAAATAAGTTAATGTACATACCTATGTCCGCAAGATGTGCATTTCAGCTGTCAGAAATCCAGTATGAAGCATGGAGCAGGTAAGTGACCACACACTCTTTCCTTTGTTTAGATAGAGAAACTATAAACCTATTACAGTGAAGGGTGTTTTTTTTCCTTCCATAAAAAGAACAAAACATTTGTACATGGCAGAAGTTTTGGAAAACATAGGAGAAAATAAAGATAGAAATAAAATCACTTAAAATTTTATTGCCAGATGGTACCACTATTTACATTTGAATGTTGCTTTTCAGTCTTTCTCCCATGTTGTTTTTTTGTTTTTTTTTTTTATTTTTTTTTTATAGAGGCATGTTCCATTTATTTATTTGTCTGCTTGTTTGTTTGTTTTGTTTATACATGCACTGGGTACAGTCAGAAGCGCGGGAGGGTGAGAGAACTCACCAGAGCCAGAGCGGGGAGCAGAACAGGCAGAAGGACCGAAGTACACTGCTGAGGGGAGCAGCGGGCGGCAGGAGAGGTCCGCGCGCCATGCGGGACCCTCCTCCGGTGACCGGGGAGCAGCCGGGGATCGAACCGGCGCCGCAAAGGTCGCGGGCAGCTTCGCAACCCAGCGCTCAACCGCTGCGCCACCGGGGAAGCCCTCCCATGTTGTTTTTTACAGTATTAAGATCATAGCATGTCATATATCCATTGAAAACATAATTTTAAAACACACTACATAATGTTCCAGCAAGTAGATGAAATATTTTTATTTTTGTATTTCCCCATTGAATATTTGGGTTATTGCCATTGTTTTTGGGAAAACATAATGTATTGAACATCCTTATACATAACTCCTTTGTATTTTATTTTCTTACGTTCTATTCCTACAATGGGGCTAGTGGATATAAAGCTTTGAAAGATTGAGGGTTTTTTTCAAGTTGAAGGTTTTTGGCAAATATTGCCTTATATACGGCGTAGAGCCGTTTTTTACACTCCTACCCACCGTGGATCAGTGTGCATTTCACTACCTGGACAGGTAATTTTTCCAAATTTTTTTCTCTTGGTTAGTATAGGGTATGCTTTCTTGTCCTGTGACCAGGTTCTTTTCCTTAGAGTTATGGGATCCATTTATCTGACCTTATGGTGTTCCTGCTGCAGAAAATGCTTTTAGAAAAGTTTGAACTTTGAGAAAATAAAGCCTGGGGATAGCTTTTGTTGTGCAGCATATCATTTTCCCTCCTGTACTCAGTCTCATCACCTGTCGGGGCTATTTTCTGTTATGTGTAAATTCATTTTGCCCTCTTAAGCAGTTGAACGTGTTGCCTGTAGGACGTCTGACGTGTTTTTCTCAGTCCTTTGTAGTTTAACATATTTTGTGTATATGTGGATATTTTGATGTTTAAACTTGCCCTGCCTAGATACATTCATTCTGTTGCTCATTGTTATTGTGTCCTGTTAATCTTTCCTTGGGCCTGGGGTATTTTCTGGGTTATTTCTTTATTTCCTCCCTTCCTTTCTTTACTTTGTCTGGATTGGAGTTACCATAATATCTATATTTAATGAGTAATAGTCAATTAGATGATTATTTGTCTTGATGGTCAAATCAACATAGTCTTGGCAACTAGGAGTTCATCAAGCTAATGCCTGAGTCCTGTTGACATATATCTTTCATTTTTTGAGCACTTACTACCTTTTGGCACAGTAACATGTTGCAGTTTCTGGTACTTTACTTGCTCAGTCATGGAGATGCATTTTTTCTAGGCACTCTGGTATACCTTTGTGGGGGCAGGGGTGGGGTGTGGTATTTAGAAACAAGGGTATGTTGACAGATAATCAAGACTTAAATTTCCAGTTGTCCTTTGTTTCTAGAGGTTAACATTTCAGAATTTTCATTTATGGATTTTTGGATCTTCAGGCATTTCATGATGCTGGCTTTCCACAGGTATTTGGCAATTTGGGCCTAGTTGCTCATCGTTATATTAGTGAATCCCAGTTCAGTTCTGTGTTCCTCAATTTCCTTTTTTTATCAGGGAGTGCTGTTAGAGCAAATTTGAACAGTAATCCTTACCTACTCAAGGGATTTGTACCTTCCCTATTCTTTTCCCCTTCACCCCACCCCAAAAGTTTTGTCATTGTCAGGCCAGGTTCAAGAGAGTTTTCTGAATGGAAAACGGTGTTCCAGCTACAGCTAGGAGAGGAGTTTTTGAAGTTTTTGAGATAAACATGATATACCAGAGTGTGAGAGAAAAGGAGAATTTTAAGAAACTTTTTTTTATGGAGGTTAGATCCTCTTAACAGTGTTCTGCAATAAGAATAAAGGTTGGAGGTATTTTGACACTATGCTATGGTTTATGAAGACATGTCTTTGGATTGACTCCCATGGGAATTGATTTCAGTAAGATTTCACACATCTCAGTGTGGCAGTGTCTTGTGTCTGGATAATTGGTAGCCAGCTACCCTGTAACAGTATGTGTATGTTTGGGGGTGGGGGGGCGGTAATGAGGGAACATGCACTATTCTAGCTCAAGATAGGCCACACTGCAGCTGACTGCCCACTGCTTCATCTGCCGCTTTCCACCCGTGTGTTAGGGGCTCCTGTGGAATCATTCCCTTCTCTCCAACGGTCTCAAATGTTTGGGGTTATGATTTCCTATTGCTGTTGCATTTTACACTTGATCTCTTTTTCAGGATTTATTTATTAAAATTTCCTGATTTGTGCTTAAGGTGCCTTTTATTTTTCATTATTTTTGAATACTTTTATATCTTTCCGACCAGTTTTAGGGTGGTATAATACCACTCTGTGCTTGACCCATTGTCTTATTCTGGATGCCACCATTGAAGGGTATTTTTACATTGGCCTGGGGAATCTATATGTAGAGTACCAAAAGAATTTCCACCCAAAGATATTAGATGACTTAGAGAGAAATCTATCAGATTAAGTTTTAGATTTCTTGCTTACCTGGAATCCAAATTTTAGAAATGTTTAAAGAGAAAAATATGCCCTTAAGCTTGATAGTATGTTTTGTGAAATTTGCATGGGCCGGCTATCTAAAAGACAGTTGTTTCTCCAGTTCTCATTCCAGAGACTTTCCTAGAATGATCTACCGATACTGCTGGCAGAATGTACCTGTTAGCACTTTCAACCTCCTGTTGAATACCAGGCATATGAGGATTGGCAGACCTGTACCCTTTATGGAGATCAACTCACTCTGCCAATTATGTACAATGAATTCTAAATGAAAATCTTTTAAAGACTACATTGCCCTAGTGTTTCTACTTAGCATACCATGACCAATAAGAGCAAGATTGAACAAAAAGAAGACACAGCATGGTCTTTCTAGAAGCAGGGGTGACCTTGTGCTGGCTTTCCCATCTTTGATGAGGGATGACACAGACACATTGTGCCTTGAGTCAGGATTGATCTTGGTATCTGAGCTGCAGTGGCCAAGAGCACTTGGCCAAAGGGAAGAGCAGATACGTGAGACTTGAACCTGTGGTCGGCATAATAAAGTACCAGAATACTTAATGAGAATCATTAAACTAACCACCTTATACTACAAGTGAAAAGAGTTAAAAAGTTAAACCATCTGTGGCAGTGTAGCCTGTAACACTGTTCCTTTTTGACACTGACTTCAGCTTATTGAGTACACAGAGTTCAGTGGTAAATCCTGAGGGATAATTATTTGAATTAATGACCCCTGGGATACAGTAAGAAGGGCTGGGAACCTTATTAACCCCAACTGCTAAATGATTAACATCTCACACCTCTTTCCTCTAGAATATGTAATTTTACAAATACATGTATTGATATTGCAGGAATAATCATTACTGAGTAGTAATGTCTAGTCCAGTATTAATGTCATTGCCTACTGTGGTGGCCTCTGAATGTTTTACTTAGAATTCACTGAAATTTAAGTAAAATAGGGGGTAGAATTATGAATGTCACATTTATCCCAAGTAGTTTGATTTTGTCCCATAGTTCTATCTACTTCATCAAATCTTTTCATTCTCTAGAAGTAAACCAGGCAGAGATTTGAAAGGCATCACTTTATTCTAATGTTCTTCATCATTTAGGGAGATTTTTCTCACAGTTTTCCTTCATGTCCTCTTTCAGCTCCCCTCCTGGTTAGAGATGCTAACATTTAGGATGATGATAAGCTATAAGAGGAAGTAAAAAGGGTGAAGGCTATATACATTTTAGCTCATGGTTGGCATGTCTTGACTTTTACCCTGCATGAGGAAAGGAGAAAACGAAGTGAAATTAAAGTCACAGATAAATAAGGTCAAGGAAGGACTGATGATAAAAGTTACCAGTTTTGTTTCCCTAGGTTAGCTCTAGCAGCCTTTGTTGCCATTTCTGACTGAAAGAAACTGAACAGGTTGGTTTTCTGCTGCTCTGCAGTGGTTGGAGGTATTTTGTTCCAGTATTGGTCCAATATTTGGTTCCACTATTGTCCAAGATGTCACCTCTATTTTAAACATACACTTCCTGGGGGTGGGGAGGAATGATTTTGTAGCACAAGATTAGGAAAAAGAGGAAGGAGAAAGGTTTAAAGTGTTGTAAGGAAGTTTCCAACCATAGGAGGAGCAAAACACCAAAAAGGCTGAACAAAGGGTGTGCCAAAGGGCTGGAGTACAGACACGCTGTCTCAAAAGGCACGTGGGCCCAGGTTCACAGGTGCCTAGTCAGATCCTGCCCAGGGAAGCACCCTAGCCCTTGTCCTTAAAAAATATCCAAACCTAGTGTGTCTAGAGGAAGGCCCCATAGGCCACGCTGTTCATGCAGAACTCCAGGAAAGAGCTAGACCCACTGGATGGTCTCCAGACCAAACCTGGCCAGAGCTCCAGGCCCAGGAGAGTTATGTGAGTCCCCGAAGTCTCATCAGAGCTGTGTCCAGTGTTCAGGTCTTGAATATCAGGAAACCCCCGAATGCAGTGCCTGGTGGGCTTCTCTTTATTACTGATCCCTGAGTTAACTCAAACCATACTCTCTCACCCTTTTGCAGCTCAGCCACGGCAAAGGTCGTCACTGTGCTTCCACTCCTCTGGCCCTCGGTGGTAGAGACTGTGGTTCGGTGGTGACCTCCAAACACCAGCTGCCCGGTGCCCGGCCCTGGGCCAAATTCAATGCTTACTGCAAACATATACACCCCACGCTCAGGGGCTCGGAAGTAGCCCTGTTCAGGAAAGTAGCTGCTGCCAATGTTGGTGTGAGTAGTGTTGAACTTCACAGTCTGCCGGGCCATTGTCCCTTCTGAAAAGCTGGCGTAGAAGGCCACGGGGGTGCCTGGAACACAGGAGGAAAGTGCTGAAAGACACCTTCCTTCGGATGGTAAATGAAGCCCTGAGACCTGCTTCCTCACCTGCTTAACATTAGAAATAGGTCTCTGTCTTCAGGTAACCTAGATATTCCCAATGATAGTGTATCTCAGGGAGTGGGAACTACCTGGCCAAACCTCAGTATTTCACTAATTGAGAGAAGGGAAGATAGATACAGTCTGTTCTCTTCTAGAGTATACTTTAAAGTACATTTTTGTTTCATCCCTTTTCCTTTCCAGCACCCTCAAAGGGAGGGAGAGAAGTACAGTAGGCTCTTGAATAAGGCATTTGTTTTCTTAAAATGGTAAAAGGGAGTGAACAGTTCCAGTGCACAGGCTGGCTTCCTTTTGTTGCCATCAACATCAGTTCACTTAGTTTCCAAGAACAGATCCACTGATTGAGGAGATCAGGTGCCTAGCTGGTTGCCCAGTGGCAGGCTGGAAAAGGAACACAGCTGACTCCCAAACTACTGCTGCCTGAGAAGAATCTTGTGATACCCAGAGGAAAGAGAAAACGTGACAGCTCCTCAAGGTAATAATACGACACTGGAGATAATCACAGAGCAGTGGAGAGAGAAAAGCAAACTCCTGGAGCTTTGTCACAGCACCTTAGAGAAGGAAGAGCAGGTGGGACTGGGGAGGAAAAGTCTTTTCAAGCTGGTCATCTTAATGTTTTCAGAATGTTTCAGAGCCCTGGGATTACAGATAGGGAAACTGAGGCCCAGAAAGGGAAAGGTGGCACACTAATAAATTACCAGCAGGGAGCTGCCCTGGGGTCTCCTAATTTCTGGTGCTCTTCTCCCCTGACGGTGTGCTTTAGCCAGCCTTAGGAGGATAAGAAAGAATGTAGGTGTGCAGCCCCCTGCCCACTGCAGGCAACTGGAGGAAACTGTCAGCCTGTTAACAAGTCAGTGAATCGCAATTGTTTAATGCTTTTTGGGAGTGTGGGGGTGAATTACAGTGAGGAAGGAGTCAAGTGGGCTGCCTGGCCAAGAGGCTTGGGGCGGGGAAGACTGGGCTGGACATGAGATGGACCCAATGGGGGTCCAGCCATGACACGGGCCTTGGCACTGACAAGGCCGTGGCGCGCGTGTTCCCTGAAAGAGCATGGAGTTAGTACAAGTAAAAACAAGGCCTGAAAGGAGGAGCAATCTGCACAGCAGCTAGTGACTTAGGTCATGGGGCTAGAGAGCCAGCTCTTTGGCTCCCACTCCAGAAATAGCCCTGTGAAAGACAAAAAATGCTGTTTTTCTCTAGTTCTGGAAGATTTTCTGAGAATTATTGGAGAGTTCAGAATAGCAGCCGCTTTGTGTAAGACTGTCTCCGCAAAGGCCTGCTGCTGGTTCTGCAGTTCCCCCAGCACCCAGGAGGTGGGGCGCTGGTCCAGCCCAAGGAAGGCTGGCCTAGAGCGCCCCCTGCCGTTGCTTGGCTCCCCCTCCCCTGCGTCTCGCCAACCTGCTTGCGGCCTGGAGTTGGGCTTTAGAGGGAGACCCCACTCAGTGACAGTGCACCTTTCTGGTGGAAGGGTTGCGATTCACTGATTTGTTAACAGGCTGACAGAGAATGGGCTTGCCTGGAGGGTACAAATTCAAGCCCTCTAGTCTTCCTGCAAGATAGAGGGTAATTTTTAATTTTGGTGGGAAACCATTATATTAGAACAACAAAATATTTCAGTGGTAAGCTCAGGAAAATTCTAAATTCATTAGCATATTGAGACCTTACACCCCCTCATAAGAGGGAAAATGATGGAACAATTAGTGTAGGCAGAAAAAGCCTCCACCCTGAAAATGCTGGGGAAATGGAAAATGTTGACTGGTTTCTACTAAATGTCAAGCCAGTGCTAGGCACTTGGTAAATTTCTCTCTTACCCTTGGTAATAGCCCTGTGGTGCAGGCAGTGAGTCTCCCACTTTACAGCAGGAGAAACTGAGACAAGTAACTGGTGTTTTATAGCCTGTGCTCTCTCTACTACCAAGAAGATACAGGCCTCTGTGGCCATAAAGTAGGGTCAGTAGGAGGAAGACCTTGAACTTTCCACATGCCAGGCTACACAGAGTACAGACAGCCCAGATGACAGCCTTGGGCTAAGTCCACGGGTCTGAGGGAGGAGGTGGTCCCAACACCAGCCTCAATGGCAGGAGAGAGTCACTTGTGAGCCACATTCAGGGAGTGGCTAGGGAGACTGACTGCACATTGTTTCAGCCTCAGCCAGTTTCCCAAACCCAGGGCCCTGGAACCTTGCAGGGACCAGTCATCTAGAGACAGCCAGACTGGGTTCAGGGCCACTCTGTAGCTGCTTACTGGCTCTCTGAGCAGGACAATGCCCCTGACTGATTCTGTTTCCAGGGTCAGATGGCAATAATACATTGTTGAGTGGATATGATAATTCAATATGGCAAAGCCCAAAAAGGGTTACACAGAGGACCTGTTGCAGAGCAGCAAGGTGGGTCAACTATATTTGCAGAATGAGCTCCTTTTGGGGCCCAAAGCTCTTCCTGCATTCACCTCCCATGGTGTGCTGCCACTGGCAGGTGACATAAATACCTGTACACACACACACACACTCTCTCTCTCTCTCTCTCTCTCTCTCTCTCTCTCTCTCTCTCTCTCTCTCTCACCTGCCTTCTATGTGGCAGAAGAGGTGCTTGCAGACAACCCTCTCCTAGATTCACCTAGTCTCCCTGGGTCCAGAAACTCACCTGCCTCCCAGAGCTCTGTTCCCAGGGTGCCCGTGACTGGCCCTCCGACATGTGTATCTGCCAGAGGCTCCACTTGCTTCCTGTCCCTCCTCTTGGGAGCTTCCAGACCTTTCTTTTGCTTTTTCCCTTTCCTGTTCAGCATGGCCTGCAGCTTTCCCAGATCCAGGCTGACATTTGCTGCCAAGAGCCCTTGGAAGTTCCCAAAGAGGCTGTGGAAAAGCTTCTGGTGCCGCTCTAAGTCCAGCTCAGTGCTGGCCAGTGCTCCATGGAGGCCCTGGAGGGAGCTGTTGAGAGAAGTGGCCCAGGAAGCCTCACAGCACTGCCCTACTTGCTTGATGTCCGAACTCAGGCGCTGGAGCTCCTGCGCCAGCCCAGCCAGGTCCATCCCACCGGCCTCCTCTCCTGAGGCATCGTGGCTCGGCTCCAGGTGCTCTGCCGGCAGCGGGGGCTGCACTTGGCCCCCAGCCCTGCTCTGCCCACTACCCACCATGGCCTGCTCCAGGGTCGTCACCCGGGCAGCCAGGGCATCCCAGCCCAGCACCTGCTCCTGCAGCCCGCTGGCGGCATCTTGCAGAGCCACGCGGATCTGCTCATAGCGCAGGGGCAAAGGGCCAGTCCCTTCCTCTGACATCATCTCCATCACCTCCTCCCCAAAGAGGGCGGCCAGCACAGCCTCGTGCCTCAGTGCATCCTCCAACAGGGCGGCGAAGGAGCTGTGGAGCTGTTGGATCTCGCGGCGGATCTCCACTTCAGAGGCCTTCAGCTTGTTTACCTCGCTGTCCAGTGTCCGCAGCTGGCTCCTGAGCCGCGATGTCTCGGCCCGGGCCCGCTCACCATCTGCCTTGTGTGACTCCATGGCCAGTGACAGAGCATCCACGGTGCTGCTCAGGGCCTGCAAGGAAGAGCCGTCCTCCTGGCGTCTCTCATCTAGGCTCACCTGGGTCTCCTCCAGGGCCCGCGTATGGTCCCTCTGGCCCTCCCGGATTACATCCAAGTCAAAGTAGAGCTTCTGGCAGTTGCAGTCCTTGACATACTTGATGAGGTCGGCGTGGCCGCCCTGCAGGTGCTGGAGGGTGAGGTTGAGCTCCAGGAGCTGCCGCTCCATCTCCTCCTTGTTCTCTTCCATGATTAGTGACTTCTCCATCAGGATCACCCGCAGCTCTCTCAATGCAGTGTGATTCACCTGTAGTTCCTCCACCAGTCGCTCCACCTTGGTTATCTGATCGAAGGTCTCATCAGATTCTGAATATAGCTCCTTGATCTCATTCACATGCTGGGCCAGAGTCGCCTGCATGTCTGCCAGGGTGCTCTGTAACTCCTCTTCCCTGCGGCCAGTGGCCACATGGAGAGCCGAGAGGTTCCTCTGCAGCTGACCCAGTCTGGCCTGCAAGCTCTCTGGCTCTGGCCTGGCTGCTGCTCCTGCAGTAGCCACCAGCAAGCTGCCATTGACCCCCAGGGATTCCTGGGCCTTAAGGAGCTTCTTCAGCTTCGTGTCCACATTGCCCTGGACCTCAGAGAGGGAGAGCTGCAGGGAAAGCTGCTGGGCATGCAGACGGTCCTCCATGTCCTCCTGCAGCCGGCTCATTTTCTGGGCGTTCTCCTCAACCTTGGTCTCAAATTTGGTACCGAGCTCCTGGAAGTCAGTCCTGGCCACTGCACTCTCCTGGACTCTCTTGATGGCCTGTTGGTTGGCCTCCATATCAAGAGATAGGTTTCTTATGGCCTGGGAGAGACTGTGCAGGCTTTGGTTGAAGCTCCTCCAAATGGGGCTGAAATGTCCTTGCAGGAAGGTATCCATGTGGAGCAGCAGCACTTGCTCCAAGGATTTGCCTGGAAACCCTGCAACAGACACACATTTTCACATGGTCCTGAGGAGGGGTAGGGACTAGACGAGGGAACTTCAGAGGTCTGGGCCTTCTTACCTCCCCTCCCACTCAGCCCTTCAGCCCTTCCGCCTGCCCCTCACCAAACTCCGTCTGATTAGCCTCAGTCTGGTTGGCCTCAGTCATTGTAGCTGTGAGGTTGCTTGGCAGGGCCTTCCACAGGTCTGAGGGGCTGTCTGCCACCTGTTGAACATCATTTTGAAGGTCTCCCAGAGCGCTGTTGCTGATCTCTGTGGCTAGGTGGCCTGGAGATACATGAGAGATAGGTGTCAAGAGCTAGCGCTCAGGGCTGGGTATATCATGAAGTATGGAGAAGATTTCAGAGTTGAGATCAAAGAGGTATGTGCTGTCTTCTGAGGAGGATCTGTAGAACCTTTACTCTCAGAAGGGCAAATGCAAGACAAGTAAAACTTCACCCTGCCCCTTGCACCCATGACTAATCAATCATGGCACATTTTCTTCCTCAGCCCCATGTGCATGGCCTCTCAGGATCACTTTAGGCCTCTCTTGTTAATAGATAGGATGATGAAATTCATTCACCACCCCAACTTTGAAAGTCTCCACAAACGATGTCTTGGTGGTTCTCCTGTGCTGCCTCAACACCAGGGACAGCATGACTTCCTGGCACTGTTTGGGGGGGTGTGGGAAGCTTTTTCAGGCCCTGGAGCATGTGCATTTCAGGGGGAAAGGAAGTGCCAGATGAAACTGTCCTTTCCAGAATATGGGTCAAGGGAAAAGGTGCATCTGCTTAGCCAGCAGGCAGGTAACTAAGGCCCTGTGAGGCTGGTCCCCTTGGTATGGAGCTGAGGAAATGGAGGGGCCATAGAGGCATCTGTGTTGATTCTGAAAGTTTTCCTGAAGTGACACTGCCTCTGAGGAGAAAGAACCTGGGCACATGGGTGCTTCCTGCCTGCCCCTTCTCCACCTTCCAGGAAAGCAACATACCAGGTTGAAGGCTGACTGGCCTATCCCACGGCTCCTGGTGGTCATCACCTGGATCTGCAGGCTCAGGGATTGCCATGGAATCTGCAGAGAGGAGGCATGGAATATTGATCCCAGAGCAGCATGACCTCTAGGGTCAGAGGTCAAGGGAGCAAGGGGCCATGGGGAGCCCTACCGTGATGCTGGCAGTCAGGGCCTGCGAAGCCTGGGCAGCACTTCCAGGCCACGGAGGCCAGCACCTTCTGCTTGACCTGGTACACTGGTTTGTGGGCCATGCGGTACCTGGGGGAAGAGGGCCAGCTCAGCAGCTCCAGGGTGAGCCAGAGCAGGGCCTGGACCAGGGGCCCACCCTGCCCCACACTACTCACATGACTTTGACTCTCTGGCAGTCCGGCGCCCCCGGTGGACACAGCTGCTGTGAGTGGACAAGGAATTTCTCTGTTTTGCAAGCGGCTATGAAGGTGACCAGCCTGGACTTCTGGTAGGGGCACCAATTACTGGGGAAAAAAACAAGCCAGAGGCGAGGGTTGCTGAGCTGTTCTCAGGTGCCCAGCAACTCTTCCTGGAGGTCAAATGGGAATAGCAGTGCAGAGTGGCTGTCCAGCTCCCTGCCCCACCTACTGCTAGGAATTCTGGAATCCATTAGCCTGAGGAGGGAGTGCTGCTCTGCATTATTCATCCCTAACTCCAAGCTCCAGAGTAAAAGCTCCAAAACATTGCCTGCTCACCATCATCTATGAGACCCTACTCCCCCAGGCCAGCAGGGAAGCTGAGGAACACCCTGCCCTCAAATCCCATAGCAAAATTGCCAATAGAGCCATGAAGGACTGTCACTATTTCACCCAGTGCCAGTGAGGCAGCATGGTGCTGCTGGGGTCCTTCATACTTTCTGACTGTGTGACCTGGAGCAAGGCACTTAGGGTATTTCCATTTCCCCATCTATCAGAGGAACATTGTAATATGCTCCTCCAAGCGGGCAGCTGAGTGTCAAGCCCCGGACCTTTACATATTCAGTGAGCACTGCAGCATTACCCTATCACTAATCACATCTTCTTTACCAGAGACCTAGCCACAGGGAGGGCACCTGCTCTCTGGCTGTGCCCCATTATGGTCATTATGGAAATAGCTTTCAAACAACTGTAAGGAAAGACAGCCAGGCCAAGCAGTCCCTCCTCTGGAAAAGATTGCCCAAACCACAGTCTTACAGGGTGGTTTGGGGATTGCACACAGTGTCCTGAACACCTGGGGGGTGTTCGATGCCATCACAGTATATGCTGTTGTGGGTCTTAGGAGCATGAGGGTGCTCACTAACCCGATGCAGGCTGGATGGGCTCAGCAGAAGGGGTCAGAGGGTCTTCCCCCAACAGTCAGCTACCAGAGTTGCAGGTGGCAATGACCTCCATGGCCCAGTTCAGTTCAACACTGAACTGGATGGCAGGTGCTGGGCTCAAGCTTAGCAGCCCTTGGTGCCAATATGGAGGTTCAGCTTTTATCTTCAGAGTCCAAGGAAGAGCAGGCAATGTCAGATGGTGTGGCAGGTGCTGGGACCTGGGGTGACTTTCAGGAAGAGGTATAATTGGGGAGAGAGGGAGATGAAGCCTTGAAAGCTGTGATAGAGGCATGTGGTCCCACTGAAATGGGGACAGGAGAGGGTCTGCAGTGGGAGGCTGTGGAGGTAATGAGAAGCCAGGCTGTTGTTTCTCCTGCCATCTGAGAAGCTGGACTGTCCTCGAAGTCATGCAGGGTTTAAGCAGGGATGTGACATGACAGAGCCTCCCTGGTTCCTGGGCACTTAGGTGGTGGTGTCAAGGTCCAGATAGAAGTTGTTGGAAGCTTTCACTGGATGATGGTGGAAGAGGTGGAGAGAAATGGTCATATTTGAGAGCTAATAGAAGGCAGTGTTCAGAGACCTTGGTGATGGAGTGGCTGTCGGGGCTGTGATTTTATCCTTTGGAGCTGATCTCTATGCTGGAGACATCACACACTGTCATGCAGAAATACTTCTAGGGAAGCAGGGGGAGGGATTAAGGGGGAGTTGTGTGGCCATATCTACTTAGAACTGAGACCCCCAGCATGCTTTCCCACTTGGCTTGCAGAAGTCTGGCATCCAAACCTCTTGGCAGTAGACTGAAAAAGCATGTTAGGAAGATGGCCAAAGTCAAGAGGAAAGACCTAAGGACGCTGACATTAAGGGTTCCCCCTTATGAAATAGCTCAGCAGAACATCTTATGACAAAACGGATTAGAATGCCCCATCCAGACATTCAGTTTCCAATCAGTTCCGCAGTCTCTCTATTCTTAAGAAGTCAAAAATCCAAAGATGACCTGTGAGGAAAACCTGCATTACCAAAGAGGAAGGTCAAAACAAGCAAATGGAAGACAATCGGCTTAGAGAAAACAGATGGTGCAGGAAGAAGAGTACCCTGGAGTTTGCATTAATATTTCCAGATTGATAAGAGAACTTACACAGACAAGTATTTAAAAATAGGTGCAAAACACTCTGAGAATAAAAATTAGAAATTAAAAATATAACAGTGGAAATACAAAAGAAATTTAAAAGAAAGTTAAGTTAAAGAAATTTCCCTGAAAGAAGAACAAAGAGAGTTGGGAAATAAAAGAGGAAAGGTCAGAAAGATAGAAAACCAACACCCAAACCATAAGAATTCCAACATCCAAGCCATTAAAATTCTAGAAGGAGAGCAGGGGGAATCAATCATTGAAAAGAATCAAATGTTCCAGAAGAGAGCAACACACACACACACACACCCCTCAGTGATTAGAATGGCCTTGAACCTCTCAACAGTAATACCAAATACTAGAACACAGTGGAGAATTATCTACAAAATACTGAAGGAAAAATATTTCCTGTTGGAATGCTGTACCCAGCCCAACTATCAATCAATGTTAGGAGAGCAGAATAGATTTTCCACAAGTGAGTTGTCAAAACATTTCTCTTCCAGCTAAAAAGAAACTTCTCTGAAGAGGAAATGCAAATGGCCAACAGGCATATGAAAAAATGTTCAACATCACTTGTGATCAGGGAAATGCAAATCAAAACTACCATGAGATACCATCTCACACCAGTGAGAATGGTACATATTAAAAAAACTAGCAACAACAAATGTTGGCGAGGTTGTGGAGAAAAAGGAACTCTTCTGCACTGTTGGTGGGAGTGCAAACTGGTCCAACCACTATGGAGAGCTGTGTGGAGATTTCTGGACCTACTAAACATAGAGCTTCCATATGATCCAGCAATTCCACTCCTAGGTATTTACCCAAAGGACACAGAAACATCAATTCCAAAGAACACCTGCACCCCTATGTTTATAGCAGCACTGTTTACAATAGCTAAGCTTTGGAAACAACCCAAATGCCCAAAAATAGATGACTGGATCAAGAAGATGTGGTACATATATACCATGGAATATTACTCAGCATTCAAAAAAGATAAACACATGCAATTTGCAGCAACATGGATGGCACTGGAAGGGATCATGCTCAGTGAAATAAGCCAGAAAGAAAAAGAAAAATACCGGATGGTCTCACTCATAGCAGGAATCTAGAAAACTTAAATAAGGGACCAGGAAAAAGAATAACTATAAAAAAGAAAATATCAAAATCAACAAACTATGAACCAGAGACACTCTATGGGGGTGGAGGGTGGGGAAAGGAGGGATTGGGGTCAAAATAAGGGGGTTGCAATTGTATGGGGATATAAAAATAAAATTAAAAAAATTAGTTGAACACATTATTTTAAGTATAATGTGGAAAAAAGTCAAGCCCAAATACCAAGTGTTTTATAATTCAAAGGGAAATCTATAGAGAAAGTAGATTAACGGTTATCTGGAACTGAGGTTAGGAATGGAGATTAACTGCAAATTGGCATGAGGGATTTTATTGGAAAAATGGAAATGTTCCAAAATAGGATTATGGTGTTGGATAAACCACCCAGTAAATTTACTAAAAAATCTTTAAGTTGTATGTTTAAATGGGTGAATCTTGTTATATGTAAATTATTCCTCAATAAAGGTGTTAAAAAAAAAACAAAAACATTTCTCTTCCCAGGTCCCACATCAGGTAACTGTGCAGGAAAGTATAAAAAGGACTCATAGTTTTTTTTCAAGTCTCAACTCTCAGTAGCATATATAGTCGTATGAATGTAAATTTTCATAAGGACAATATTGTGGAATGATGACTGGGAAGGGCCTGTGTGTGTGTGCACATGTGCACACGCATGTATGCATATACATGTGTGTTGGGATTGGAGTACAGAGTAAGAATGAGAGCAAGGGCCTCCCCGGTGGCGCAGCGGTTGAGCGCTGGGCTGCGAGGCAGTGCCGGTTCGATCCCCGGCCACTGGTGAGGGTCCCACGTGGCGCGACAGACCTCTCCTGCCACGCCTGCTGCTCCCCCCAGCAGTGTATTTCGTCTGACGGCCTGCTCTGCTCCCCGCTCTGTCTCTGGTGAATTCTCTCACCCTCCCGTGCTTCTGACTGTACCCAGTGCTTGTATGAATAAAAATAAACCTTTAAAAAAAAAAAAAAAAGAATGAGAGCAAAAGCATGGATAAGCCACTTCTCAACAAGTAACAATGTGAATATATTATTATACTCATAACAGTATGAGTATATATCTTATTTAGAAATAAGAGGTAAATGCCAAAAGAATCACCTACATTTGGTCATTGTTTTGGGGGAACAGAGTAAGCTGGGGCTTCTGATTGTCTCAACAAAATTTGTAGAGGGTTTGACTCTAATTCACAGGGCCAGCAAAGTTTCTCTTTGGGGATAGGCAGTAGGTATTTTACGTAAGACTGACAAATTAATTTGTAGGACACAATGCAAAATGAAAAAGCAAGACAATAGAAATTAAACCCAATATGGTGGCCTTCTGAGTGTTGGATCCTTTGTGACTGCTCAGGTCATATGTCCATGAAGTTGGCCCTGATTTAGACTTCCCAGGACATGTGGACTCTTGTTTCAACTCTGCCATTGTAGCACTAAAACAGTCACTAACAATACATAAATGAATGACTGTGGCTGTGCTCCCACTAAAACTTAATTTACAAAAGCAAACAGGGGGTCAGATTTGGCCATAATTTTCTGATTCCTGTCTATGGGTGTATATAACAAAATAAACCTTAAATGTGTATATATATTTTATATATATATATTTATAGTCATTTCCATCTGGATGAGAAAATGCAGATGAACAGGTAGAGCATTTTGGAAGAAAATAGTGAGGAGTTTCTCATGTGTCTAGGTCTATCCATCTTGTGTACCTCACCTATCAACACCATCTCTAAAGCCAAGTAATGAACGGTGGAACATGGCAGAGGATTTGACAAAACCATTCAGTTAGTGGTGAAATGGGAACACATCAAAAATCTGGACAAAAGCAAAGACTGTTCACTCAACACTGAAACAGTGGACAGTAAAAGTGCTGTCCCAGAACTCTAGGACCGTGGGCCAGATGTTTGTCTGCACAGACTGTTCCAAGGACCAAAATCTGCGACTCCCACCCCACCTCCATCCTGGGGACCATGGAAATCCTGGGCTCAGCCCTAGAGAAAAGTGTTTCCCTGTGTCAGTGGTTCTCAACCAGGGAGAGGGAACTTCCCCCATGTGCATATGGCAACTTCTTGAGACATTTATAGTTGTCGTGACTGGGGGTGTGGGGGCGCTACTGGCGTCCAGTGGGTGGAGGTCAAGGATGCTGCTAAACACCCTACAAAGCACAGGACAGCCATGCACAACAAAGAATTAGCCAATTCCAAATGTCAATAATGTCGAGGTTCAGAAACATGTTCTAAACAAAGTTCACTCCTGGCACGTGCTCTCAACTCCAGCAGAGGCTGCCTGGGCACATCCGGTCTGGTCCAGCCTGCCAGGGAGTGACTGGGACTTTCCACGTCCAGCTCCTGGAACCAGAAGTGGTGCTGCCCACCCTTCCTGTCCAGGAACTTTCCCTCCTGACCTGCCCAAACTCTGGCTTTCATGGCCTCTATTCTCCCTGCCCACAATCCCCCTCCCTCAGCATCCCCATCCCCTTGGCACAGTACAGCCTGCTGGCCCAGAAGCCCTGGGAACATTCCTGACCTTTGCTTTGGTTTCCTCCTGCTTTTGGCAGCTTCTTGCTGTCCTTCTGAGCTCCAGCCCCCAGCCAAGCTGGGTGAAGCATGAAGCATGCCATTGTTCTCACTCCCTTCTGGTCTCAGGCCTTCTCCCTCTTTATACCCTTCCTTGGGGAGAAATGATGGGTGTCCTCATCTCCCAGCGGTCTGTTGAGAGGCAAGTGCCAGCCAGGTTTGGTCCTGTGCTGGGCCTCTGTCATGACCACCACTTACTGCCTCGTCCCATGTAGGAGAGAGTCAGCTGATCCCCTTGGAGTTGCTAAGTAGTTGCTGGGGGACTCCCCCACCCCCTCCCTAGACTCAGGGTGACCTTGAGTAAAACCTTTCCCCTAGTCCTGGAAAGGTGAAGAGGATTCCTAATCCAGGTCCCTCCCTGGGGGCAGGGAGTGAGGGTGGGGGTTGAGGGGGGCGGCTGAGGTGAAGCAGGGAAAGGGCTATTAGCTGGAGTTCCCTGAATTATGGATGTGCTACTGCTTCCACCTCTGAGACACTTAAATGCTCTTAACAAACCAGTAAATCCCACCTCCGTCTGCCCTTTAAGTCTTCCTGGGGAGGAAGGGTGTCTTAGCCTTCTTGCTTTCTGGGATCCTGAACGCAGCCATGAATGTGACCACTCAGGGGAGAATTTTGCAAAACTCTGTTTTTGAGCCAGAAAGGGACCTTGGCAGAGAAGCCAGAGGCCCACTCGGCATCAAGCCAGGAGCCATGGTTCCCCAAGTGTGACTCAGGCCAGGGCTTCTTCCCTGTTTGTGCCCAGGGCCCTGGGCCTTTAGGAGCAGAAACAGGTGCAGGAGGTGCAGGCGTGGCCAGAGACAGGCAGCCTTGGCTTCACCTTGCTCCTGTGAGGACATGAGTAACTCCTCTGGGCTCTGAGCTCCCAATTGCAAAAATCAAAAGTGCTCCTTGCACGTGGGTCGGGAAAAGCTAATAGTGGTGGCCAGAGCAGCGTCTCCCATACCTCCACCCTTTGAGGGAGACAGGACAGAGGACATCTGGGCTCTGTAGCCCAATGGGTGTGGATCCGGACTCTGCCCATTACTTTAGAGTTGTGTGGCCTTGGGTAGCATCCCCACCCCTCTGTTTTTATTTATTTATTTGTTTGTTTTTTGTTTATACAAGCACTGGGTACAGTCAGAAGCGCGGGAGGGTGAGAGAATTCACCAGAGCCAGAGCGGGGAGCAGAACAGGCAGAGGGACCGAAGTACACTGCTGAGGGGAGCAGCGGGCGGCAGGAGAGGTCTGCGCGCCATGTGGGACCCTCCTCCGGTGGCCGGGGAGCAGCCGGGGATCGAACCGGCGCCGCAGAGGCCGCGGGCAGCTTCGCAACCCAGCGCTCAACCGCTGCGCCACCGGAGAGGCCCCCCACCCCTCTGTACCTCAGGGCTTGTAAAGTGGAGAGAGCTGTGGTGACCTGTCAGTGTTGTTGCAACAGTGCAGAATGGGGGCACCTGGCCTGGGGCTCAGCTCGGTCCCCATCACAAGTTCAGTCCTGTGGGGAAGGAAGTTCAGCATCTGTGGGGCCCACATCTTAAACTGCTGCTCTCTCTACCCCACCAAAGCCAGAGAGCACAAGTGCCTCCTCCTTATGAGGTCCCCAGGGCCCTAGGAAGCACTCAACCATGCCCTCCGCCCCCTTGGGAGCTGACAGTAGTGGGACTAGGGCAGCAAAGCACCAGCTTGGTCTGCTTGGTCTTGTCCTTGGAAAGGGTCTAATCTGGGTCTGTGTCTAGGGCCTGCCCTGGTCCTGGGCTCCAGAAACAGGCCTGAGAGGCTCATGCCAGCAAAGGCCTGACACTGGAAGCCAGGCACGGCAGTTTGCCAGGCCCTTCCTGAGTGCCCAGCGCCTGTTCTGCACCCCCTGCCCTGTTGTGGGAGGGGGCTGGAGCAGCGTTTCCGCCTCTCCCTCCTCTGGATCACGGGAAGCAATCAGCCCAAGGAAGCTGGTCAGGGTTTCCTTCCTTTCTCACCAGCCCCTCTGGAGGCCTGGACAACTTTGGCTTGCCCTGTGGGGACCGTGGCTTCTGGGGTAATGGGAAGGAACCCCAGAGAACTATGCAATCCCCTGGAGCCCCAAATCCAGGGCTTGGGACACTTGCATGGGCATTCCTGGGCCAAAGGCCTGGTACACAATGAGTCCTCCCTGGTGGCGCTAGGGGTTGAGCACTGCACTGTGAGGCAGTCCACAGCCTCTGCAGCACGAGTTCGATCCCTGACCCACCAGGGAGCAACCCACATGGCGCAGCAGACCTCTCCTGTCACACCTGCTCCTCCCCTAGCAGTGTGCCTTGGTCAATCTGCCTGTTCTGTTCCCCACTCTGTCTCTGGTGAATCCTCTCAGACCCCACATCTCTGACCTGTACACCAGCTCTGTATGCATAAGTAAATGAATCTTAAAAAATAATGATAATAAAATAAAATAAAATGAAGGCCTTGTACATACTGCCGGTGCTCTGTACACACTGGGACCACACAAACGCAAAAGGGACCAGAGGGCAGCCCATGAGGACAAGCCCTGTTCTCCCCAGGCTAAGGGAACATGGTCCCGCCCCACAGTCGATGGGATGGAGAGGAAGAAGAGCTTCTACCATCTCTTTCCCATCCATTTGGACCCCCTTTCATGTCCCCTTTCATCAAAACAAGGCAGGCAGCCCACAAACTGGGCATGAGCTAATGGTTTCGGGGAGGGAAGGCTTGGTCCTTGGTCCTGAAATCAGAGCTACATGTCCAGGTTCTCCCACCAGAAGTCATATTCTCATCCCAGCCTTCAGCAGAGTTGGGGACAGAGGGGTGACAGACCCCTCACTAGGTCCTCCTCCAGCCAATCCTCCCCACACAGCCAACCCCTCCCCCTCTGAGGGTCAGTGTGCACTCTCTTTTGGGAGTGGGTCCAGCAAATACATTCACCTTGAAGCATCAGAGCTGTATAGAACTGTCTGAAACATTGATTCTCTAGGCCAACACAAAGATGAATCTCTGACAGCCAGGTGGGAGGCTCTGTATGTGTTAAGTTGCCCCCTTTTACTCCCCAAATCCATATAGATGCTCTCAGGTAACCGGTCTATGCGGTGGGGGTGGGGGTAGGCATACTGGGTCCTGGGATGCCTCTGAGTGCTCCAGGGACCCCAGCATTAACTCTGGACTTCAACTCACATGCTAGTTGCAGCTCTCCTAGCTGTGTGGCTGTGGGTCAGCTGCTTAGCCTCTCTGAGCCTCAGGCCTCTCCTCTGTAACCAAGGCTATTGGGAGGATTAACACCTGGCAAGGTGCCTAGCCCAGCAAATGGCACCTGCTGCTCTAACAGTATCCTGAGGAGAGACCTCAGGCCCAGCACCTTACCAGCAGGTGGACCCCTCGCCCTGTACAAACAGAACACCAAAAAATGGCGTCCTGGTCAGTCAGAGGAGTGTTCTGCACATATCCAGAGAGGCACAGAACAGCTTGCTTGATGTTGAGACTTTTTTATTTTCGTTCCAGAGATAGAGTAGGGCACATCTCTGCCAGGTTGAAGACACAAAATCCAGCCCCTAGGAGTATCAGTCCTCTCTATGGCTTAGCTGGGCTACCCCACGAGGGCTCAGCTTTCAGAACTAACTCATTTTGAACAGCCGAAGCCACTGCCACACCAACTGGAGACTTCCGGAACCACAGCCCCTCAACACCCCATGCAGGGTAGATGACAGTAAGGAGTGCTCCCAACCTGTCCAAACCCCAGGCCCTGTTCTCTGCTATGGGTCAGGCAGGGGACTTCCTGTGGTTCTTAGCCTGGGGTACCTAGTCCCGACTGCCTAGGGGTGGCCCCTTGAAGGGGAGTTTGGCACCTAGTACCTCACTCAGTCTCACAGCTGATCAGCAGGTAGTTTACACAAGCCCATGTCACAGATGGATGACTGAGGTCCAGAAAGGCCTTGTTTTGGCTGAACTGGGACTCAGGTTTCCATGACAACCTCCCACAAGAATTTCAACCTCCTTACCGTCTAATGGGGTCGTTGCTGGTGTCCTCAGCCTCTGCCCTCCAGGCCCCAGGCTGTCTGGAGTCAGGTGGATCAGAGAACCAGGTACCTGGGGCCTGAGCCCAGGCCCCAGGCAGACCCCAAATTAGGGGTCCCCCAAGACCAAGTAACAACATCAGGATCATTGTCGCAGTTGGGCAGGCTCAGCCTCAGCAAATGACTCCAGAAACTGCCAGTCACGTTGTCATGAAGTTAAGTCTCAGAAGGAAAAGAAAGCACAGGACAACAAAGAGAGGAAGTGGCCTGGGCCGGCCCACCCGGCAAGTCTCGTCCGGCCCCTCACCCCACTGCCTGGCCCCCATAGAGGCAGCCAACATCGCAGGCAGGTTCCTGTGCCAGAGAGAACTCAGGGACACTGGGGGTGTAGGAGACACAGGAAGGTGGCCCCCCATCCAGGCCCCATGGGAGCCTGCTCCCTGGGAGTCAGAAGAGCATAAGCGCGGAGGTGAAGCTGCAAGACATCTGTGGGTCAGTCTCAGGGACCCTGCAGCTCCCCCATGCTGGTGGCCAGGAAGTGGGGGATTTCATGCCTACTCAGCGCCTCCACCACTGGGCTGTGGGAGCCAGCAGCTGGGTGAAGCTCAGAGGGAGAAAGGAGCTGCCTGAGGGCTGCAAAGGGTGTAGCCAGAGGCCAGGGATACCCTTTTGTGCCCCTGCCCACTTCCTCCTGGTGGGAACCCCAGGGATCCATGTTTCTGGGGAGAAGCCAGGTAGCACAGGTGGTTCTGGAAGGTGGATGACTCTTGACTGTGTGTCCCTGACCTTGTCCCTGTCTGGAGTGCTGGTAGCAAAACTGCCTCCCTCTCTCAGCCCCGTCTGCCCCAGATGTCCAGACACAACAGCCCGGGGCCAGAGAGCTTCCGGCCAGAGCTGCCCCTGTGAGTGAATGAATGGGGAACCGTGATAGGTGAGGATGCTTCCAGCCCCCGGTTAGCCCTCCTGGGAGGGCAGGAGCAGAGGGGAGGCTTGAACCAGCTGAGGCCCAAGGGACTGGACCCTGCTGCCCCATCCAGGGGGAAGGAGACAGGGGGCGGGTGGGCATCCGCCTTCCCTCTTTCTCGCTCCTTCCCTCCTTCCCCGCCCCCGCCCTGGCTGGCTGGGCTCCCACGGCCAGTCGCTGCATCATCAATATTTCATTGTCGTCAATAAGAGGCAGCAGCAGGGACAGCGGCTGCGGCAGTACTTGCGCCAGCTCCAGCCACAGCCTGCCGGCAGTCGGTAGCGTCGGGCTCCCGTCCCTGTCACCACCATGGACGTCTTCAAGAAGGGCTTCTCTATTGCCAAGGAGGGCGTGGTGGGTGCCGTGGAGAAGACCAAGCAGGGGGTGACAGAAGCTGCTGAGAAGACCAAGGAAGGCGTCATGTATGTGGGTGAGTCTGGGCGTGGCAGGGCTTGCCAGGGCGGGGCAGCTTGGTGGCTGGGGGCCAGGGTGCTCGGAGGTTTTGGGCCTGACTCCATATCCCCTAGTCCTAGGGAGGCATTTTGGGAGGTGATGAGGACCTGGCTGTTAAGTTAGGCTCTTCAGGGGGGTTTCTGGGGCAGGGCAACTGGAGGGGTAATCAGTCCTCAGACACACCCATCTACGCAGACAAAAATGCATGCACAAACACACCCTAGCATCTTTCAGCCTGGCAGCACCCACCCCCTTAGACAGAACCAGGGGAACTCAAGGCTGGAGTCTCCTTGGGTCAAGTGGGCAGGTGCCCAGGTAGGGTCCCCACCCTCCAAGAAGCAGCAACCGGGGTATAGATTCCCACTTTGCCCAGAGGGAAGGAGTGGAGCTGGAGGGGAGACTCTTTGTCCTAACCAGCCCCACCCCCCTCAGTTTCCTCAGAGGAGGGGGCTGAGCCGCTGACTCAGCTTTCCTCTGCTGTCCTCCAGCTGCTCTGGGGCCCAGGATACACCTGGCGAAGGAGGTTGTGGTCGTCCGGACCCTATCTCAGACCTGGTCTCTCCTGAATTTTCTCCCAGCACTGCCCTGTCCTGTCCTGTCCACTTCCCGTTTTTCTTCTTCCTCTAGACACAGCAGGAAGTGGCCTTTGAAAGCCCCCAGACACCATTCACCCCCTACCCACCCTAGAGCCTGCCTTGCTATTCTGTGTGTTTTCCCTGATCACCTTCCTCCAAACCCCTGGAGGAGTAGGTCTGGGCTGACACCTCCATTTCTTCCCCAGGAGCCAAGACCAAGGAGGGTGTTGTGCAGAGTGTGACCTCAGGTGAGGAGCTGGTGATGAGGGGATATGGTGGGACCTCCAGGGACTGCTGTGTTCTGGTACCCTTTACCCCTCCTGACCTTATAGTCCATGTCCCAAGCTGTACATGGACCCAGACTCTTCCAGAACCTGAGCCTGGATGTAGGGTGGGCCTCCCACTCTCCCGATTAGCATCAGAATTCCCGTGGGCAAAAAGGGTCTCCAGTAGGGCCACAGTTCAAGTTCCCTGGAAGAGGGGTTGCTCTGGCCTGACTTGAGCAGACCAGGCTTGGGTGGGAAGGGCGTCAGAACCAAGGCCAGCCAGAGTCCTCCCACAGTGGCTGAGAAAACCAAGGAGCAGGCCAATGCTGTGAGTGAGGCTGTGGTCACCAGCGTCAACACAGTGGCCAACAAGACCGTGGAGGAAGCAGAAAACATCGTGGTCAACACTGGAGTGGTGCGCAAGGTGAGACCTTGGTTCCCAGTCTGGCTCTCAGACTAGTCCTATTCTTTCTCTGGGGCTCTGGAGAGGCCAGCTTGAGGGGAGGCATTATCACCCCATTAATATATGGGGAATCAGAGATTTAGGGGCCCACAGCTTGTGCTTGGTGTTTTCAATATGTATCAATGCCTGAAATCCTCATTTCATACTTATAAAGGGCGTAGCTGGGGCCCAACTGGAAAGGGAGGATCAAAACCACACCCTCTTGATGGTGCTCAGCATAGAGGAGAGATCACATTTACAGCTGAAAGCAGGGTCCTGTGGCTCCCACGTGGTGACAGGCAGGGTCTTGGCAGTGAACACCAGGCTCAAGCTGCCCACTTAACAGCTCCAGAGTGTCCAGCCTCCCCCGAGGGGCCTGGTGGGCTGCCTGTCACCTCCCTGGAGAAGTCAGGAAGCAGCGCCCTCTGGTGACTGAAAACAGTTCAGGATCTGACCCCACCCTTCACCTCCGCCTTTGTGCTTGCACTTGTGTGTGCCAGTGCACAGCAGCAGAGAGCATGGAAGGAGTGAGGCACTCCCCGGAGGACAGCTGGGAGGAGATGTTCTAGCACCTACCACAGAGCAGACTCTGCCTAAGGCAATTTATACTTAGTGACTCATTGTAAGCTTTTAATTGTCACAAAATACCACGAGACAGGGTGAGGAAATGAGGCACAAAGAGATTAAGAACAGTAACGTGCCTTGGGTCTATGACTAGTCTGTGTGAACCTGAACTTCTCATGCCACTGACCTCAGGCACCTACTATGGGCCAGCAGGACTAGGCAGGTGACCACCTGCCCTTGGCCTGGAGAAAGGCCCCAACTCTGGCTATTACAGTGGTGCACGTTTATGCCCCCCAGTCCAGGATGGCCTTGTGGTAGCATGGAGATGGCAGGACCCTCCAGAGGTAGGTGCTGAGACCAGGGTCCAGGTTGATCACCCAGTCTAGTCCTGCCCACCAACTGAGGACTCTGCACCCTTTACAAGATTCCACAACCACTTTGCTACCCTACAGGAGGACCTGGAACCTACACCCCCAGAAGAGAATGAAGCAGCCAAAGTGGAAGAGGAACTGGCTGAAGAGGTAAGAGCTGGGCTCCTGGGGTACACTGTGGGTCCCTGGGCAAGATTCCCTTCAAAGAAGTCTTTGGAGGGTTCTCCCTGGTGGTGCAGGGGTTAAAGTCTTAGCACTATCAAGCTATCACCAGCCACTGCAGCATGAGTTCCATCCCCCACCACGGAGCTGACACCTGGTGCAGCAGACCTCTCCTGTCTTACCCACTGCTCCCCTCAGCAGTGTATTTCAGTAGATCCGCCTTTTCTCCTCCCCATTCTGTCTCTGGCGAATCCTCTCACTCCCCACAACTCTTGCCTACACCCCCGTTTTTGTATGCATAAAAAAATAAAAATAAATCTTGAAAAAACACAAAGAAGGCTTTCAGGTAGGAACCCCATATCTCACGGGCCTGCCACTCTCCTCCTGTGGTACCAGAGTCCTCTGGGGGAGACTTGACCTTCTATAGCTTCCTGAACTTGACCTGAATAACAAGTTCCTTCACAAAATAGCCCCTCAGGTCAGGGTGGTGCTGGTCCCACCCCATTTACAGTGGTCACTGAGGGCTGGGACCCCAGAGCTGTGTATGATCATCACCTTCTCTTCCAGACCAAGATTGGAGGAGACTAGAGGACATCCAGTCAGCCTTGAAGGCCTCAAGGAACACCCCTCTGCCTTGGAACCCCATCCCCTGTGGAGCAAGGAGTGCCTGGCCCTGAAGTGTGAGCTTCAAGGCTGTATCTGAGCCCTCACCCCACCACCCACAGGCCTGTCTTTCAGTGCTGCCTCTGCCTTCAACTCCCTCCCACCCTCTGGTCCTTCTGACCCCACAGATGCTGCTGTGATTTTTTTTTCTAATGATCCCAAATAAAACTCATGTTCCCACCCCTGGACATACCTACTCATACTTCCTCTCTGTGCTGCCTTATTCATGACAAAGTCCCCTGGGACCCTCAGGAACAGGCACTGGGCCAGCCTGTTGATGGTCAGGGAAGCAGGTCAGGGCCAGGTACACTACAGGGCACCCTGAGTGTTTCTTGAATCTGCTAAGAGCAGGCACTCCCTTCAGGGACACTCCCCATCCCTCAAGCCACCTACCAATGCCATTCAATGTGGAGGAGGCAGTTCTGCTTTTGGCTTCCCGAGACAGCCACCAGGACATGCTGTCCACAGCGGCCTCAACCCCAGTGCTTACCCTCTGGATATGTACCTTACTGACAACAGGAAGTGAGAACTGACCTCTGGGCCTTCCTATACCACGTCCTTTGGGAAACAGGGAAACCCTAACACCCCTCCTTGGAGCAGACAGTCACTTTCAAAGACGTCAAGTGAGGAGACCTGGGGAGGACTCTCCTGGGCAGAGAAGGACATGACCCAAGGCTCCTCCCACCTGGCTCCTTCCAGCCTCCAGCTCCCCACAGGCTTGGAGCTGGGCTTTCCTGTTCCTTCACCAGGAAGTCCTGTCAAGTGTCATTAGAAAACAACAGCTGAGTTGCAGGATATTAAGACTTCATTTTAAGAGAAAAAGAGTAAAAATGAACATTCATTGAGCTCCTCCCAAGCATCAGATATTGACCTCATCTAATCCTCAGGACAAACCTCATGGGAACAGTTGGTATGATCCCAGTTTTACCAAAAATGAACTGAAGAACAGAGAAGTTAAATAACTTGCCCAAAGGAGGCACAGAGCTACGAAGTTCTGGGACAGGGCAGAAAGGCAGGCAGCCTGACTCCAGATCCACCCATTTGATTCCTAAGCTCTGCCACAGGTACCGGGACTGCCTAGGGAGCTGCCCTCTTCATACCCTGCTTGTTATCTCAGAAGCTGAGTGCTGGGCATCCTTCAGACCAATTTAAATCTTACAATACCACTCTGTGTGGATTCTATTACTGACCCCCTTCGCCCCATCAAGGAGGAGAACACCTTGTCCTCATCAAGAATAAGGAAATGAAGGGACTTGCCCTAGAGGATCTTGGAACCCAAGAGAATTGATCCCAGGGCCTGCTGCTTTAAAGCGGCAGTGAGCTTCGTACTGTCACCTGCTCTGGGCTGGTCCTTGGACCAACCGAAACCGCTGCTTCCATGCCTTGCTCCCTGCCTACTGGGCCAGACACCAACGAGTACGAGCAGCCAGCGAAGAGCTACCTGGAGGAGAGGAAAAGCCTTCCCGGCTAAAGGGACGGGTGCTTCTAGTGGACATCAGGAAGGAGAGCGGGCATGGGGCAGCGGCTGGGCGGGGATCCCTCGAGGAGTCCCGCGGCTGCATTCAGGAGGCTCATGCGATGCCTTTGCGCTCCAGACAACTCACGAGCCGGCTCTGAGCCACAGGGCGGGGGCGCTGGGGAGACGGGCACGGCCGAGTGTGGCAGCTTCTTTGCTGGTCTGCCCTGGGTGTTCCCGCCCACTCCAGCCCCCATCTTAGCATCCGTCCCTTCCTCTGGCCTGAAGATGACCTCGTCTCCACTAATCCGTTCCGTGCGGAGGGGCCGACCCGCCGTAGTTTACTCCCCATCCATTCCATCCCTCCCAGGGTGTGGGCCCATGGAGCGGACCTGCGCGGGCAGGTGCTGCCCGCAGCTCCAGCATCCGGGAGACCCCAAGAGATGTGCAGAGACAGTCCCGGAGAGGAAGAAACAGGAACATTAGAAAAGGGCACGACGGGGCCTCCCCGGTGGCGCGGCGGTTGAGCGCTGGGTTGCGAAGCTGCCCGCGGCCTCTGCGGCGCCGGTTCGATCCCGGCTGCTCCCCGGCCACCGGAGGAGGGTCCCACATGGCGCGCAGACCTCTCCTGCCGCCCGCTGCTCCCCTCAGCAGTGTGCTTCGGTCCTTCTGCCTGCTCTGCTCTCTGCTCTGGCTCTGGTGAATTCTCTCACCCTCCCGTGCTTCTGACTGTACCCAGTGCTTGCATAAATAAATAAAAATAAATCTTTAAAAAAAAAAGAAAGAAAGAAAGGCGCACGACGCCACATCGGAAAGCTGGACTCCAGCGGCGGGGGTCGATCTGGGCCCACGAGTGCCACAACACTGTGCCTTGCTAGTTGTTTTGCTGGCCCTAGGATCCCTGGCTCCTCCACTCGTGCAGGTCTCTAACCATCACCCCCACCCCAGCGCCACCTCGAGCCCCACGGTCGCCACGCGCCCTTCTCAGGAAAAGGCGACCTGAGTGCTCCACGGACTGGGGACTCTGCCGCTCCCTTCTGCGCTATGTGGCCTGAGGTGCTTTCCTGCCTTCTCTGAGCCGTATTTCCTGCCTAACTAGTCCGGCTTTGGCGGTGAACAGCGGACCCACAGGGACCGCTCTCTCCGTTACCCGCCCCCCACCCCAGGGTTACGTGCCCTCGCCCTCTCCTGGAGCGGAAAGATTCACCCCATCCTCCCTGTGCCCGCGGGGTCTCAGGGGCGGCCGGGCACATGGCCGAGAGTGTGGGGTGCTCCCTTGCAGACAGTCAAGGCTCCTGGGCTTTGCAGCCCACCAAGGAGGGTGAGTTTAGGTGAGATCCAGTTCATCCTCTGTGCCTCAGTTTCTTCCTGTAAACTGATAACACCTAATTCACTTTACAATCTTGTTGTAAAGATTATACAAGAAGCTGTAACGCCGTGCAGCAACACTGCTCAATAAAAGGCAGTTGCTATTGTTAATTTCAACTCCAGCCTTGAGATGCTAACCTGGAGCTGACTCTGCCACTTATGGGTTGAGGGATCCTCAAAGCCAGGAACGGAGGGGTAGTCTAGCAGAGATGGGGGGGGCCCTCCCACCCACAGCACTTCCCCTGCCTTCCTACCTCTGCCAGCCTGAGGTCAGGATGTGCTGGGGGTTGGCAAAGTCTGGAGCAGGGCCCGGCCACTCCCCTGAGCCTGGCTGCCAGGAACCGCCCTGGCTCCCCCCTTGGTCCCCCGCAGGGCGGGCCAGCCCTGGGGCGCCTTTAAAACCAGAGCTGATGCTCCAGTTGAGCGGTGCTGTGAGCAAAGTTCAACGTTGCTGCTGCTACCCTTGACAACCTTGAAAAACACCACAGCGATGGCCAGCAAGGGCTTGCCTGACCTGAAGAAGCAAGTGGAGGGAGCTGCTCAGGAAGCGGGTGAGGACAGCGGGCAATCCCGGGCACAGGCGGCGGGAGGGTGCACCGGGGCAGAAGCCACTGGGCTCCCTCTTCCCTGAGAGGCAGGGACCCTGAAGGAAGCTTGTTCCGACAAGGTGAGGGAACTGGGGAAACAGCTGTGCCTCAACAGACTGGGGAGCCCAGTAAGCATTGCCAGAGGCAACCTGAGGAGGTTAGCAGTGGGAGTCTCCACACACCCCCACCCCGCCCAGTTACCCCATCCAGGTCCAGAGGGGAAGGTGGAGGTCCAAGGAAAGAGTATAAATCCTAGGAGTATCCTCTGTTTTGTTGAGGTCCACGGAGTGAGGGGCATAGGGTCTGTTGGGGTGGGAGAAGTGGCTACAGACACCCCACTGGCCTTTGTTTTGAGCCCAACTCCCCTACTTCCTCCAAAATAATTGTCTCCTTACTTTTAAGTCTCTCACCCAGAGGGCTTTCTCACCCTCACCCCCTGCAGGGTAGGTCCCCAATTTCTTTTTTTTTTTTTTAATATTTATTTATTTTTATACAAGAACCAGGGTACAGGCCAGATGCGCGGGAGGGTGAGAGAATTCACCAGAGCCAGAGCGGAGAGCAGAACAGGCAGATTGACAAAATACACTGCTGAGGGGAGAAGGGGGCGAGACAGGAGAGGTCTGCTTTGCCATGTGGGATTCTCGCTGGCCAGCCTGGATCAAACCTGTGCTGCAGAGGCTGCGGACAGCTTCACAGTGCGGTGCTCAACCGCCTGCGCCACCAGGGAGGCCCTAGGTCCCCAATTTCTCTATCTCCAACTCTCTCCTCCTCAGACTGGAGGTTACATAGTTGGGAGGGGGTTGATGAGAGGGGGCAGGGGATGTGAAGAGACCCCAGGCTCACTAGCATCAGCCCTTCCAGTGCTCAACTCAGCTGCCCTTGGGATTACAACACCCAATCTGTCCTACACACACCTCTGTCAACAAACACCCAAGCCCCGTCCTTCACAGAGTCCCAGGAAAAGCCCACAGTTACCACCCAGACTAAAATGTTACCAGGAAGCTCCTGTCTACAGGATCCTCCCTCTGGGCCTCACTCTCCCATTTCCCATCTGTAACCTGGGTGCGAAGGCTCCTTCTCTGTGGTCCTGACTGGCTATGCCAGACAAGGACCCCAGGGGTCTCTGTAAGCAGCAGATCCAGAGTCTGCTTGATACCCCCACCCACCCCCAGCAGGCCCTTTCCTGCTCAGCAGCAAGGATGAGTCAGGTCTCCAGAGTCCAGAGTCACCCGTCTACCCGGAGCCCCTGGGAACCCTATTGCCTACAGGCACAAAGTCTGGCCCAAAGGAGAAGGCCTGACCTTGGAAGGCACCGCCTTTCTGCACTTGTTTCCTAATGCTGTAAGCAGCCTGCCCACAAAGGCTCTGGCATCATTGCTTGTTGCCCTATGGAGGCAGGCACAGAAGAGAGGAGTTGGTGTGAGGGCCTTGAAACATTAGAGGCCTCAGTGCACTAAGGTTGCACTAAAAGGGAATTCAGGCATCTGTGTCAGGCTTCTGAGGAGTTATTAAGGGGGCACATGGGTTTTCCTGTGCCATGCCCAGCGGCAGCCACAGCAGATGCCAGTTCCATCTTGGCCCTGCACTGCCTTTCTTCCTCTGAGTCTCACTTTCCCAGCCATCCTTGAGATGGGAACAGAAACAGGCCAGAGGGGAGGTGCCCAAAGCCTATAAATAAACAATACCCCAGAGGCATGGAAAGGGTTCTTGCCCCTCAATGGCTGGGCGCCTGTGGTCGAGGAGCCTTATCTCAAATGCTATTGAGAGGGAATACTCTAAGACAGATAGATGGGGGACAGCTACCGCGGGGACCCTGTGGCTGATGGTGCCTCAAAAGGAACTAAAGGTCACATCTCTCTTTTCCAGCGACGGCAGCAGGAGCAGCGGCTCAGCAAGTGATGGATCAAGCCGCAGAGGCAGGACAGAAAGGTCTGGTGGGGCTGGGCACGGGCGACAGGCAACCCCTCTCTCCATCCCATCCAGTCCTTGCACAAGTGCATCCTCTGCTCTGCACCCCTCTGCCCAAATTGCTCGGAGGCCCACTTCCTGGGGAGGGACACCCGGGCCAGCCTCACCCTGCAAGGTTCTGGTTTCCAGAGCCCCACCCTCACCTGCCCTCTCCTTTCCTTCCCTAGCCATGGACCACGTGGTCAAATCTACGCAGGAAACGGTCGACAAGACTGCTAACCAGGCCTCTGAGAGTATCTCTGGTTTCGGGAAAAAATTCGGCCTCTCGAAATGACAGAAGAGAGACATGGGTGACTCCCCTCCAGGCATGACCTCCGGGCATCGGTCGCCCCGTGGCTTGCCGCCTCATTAAAGCACATACTCCTACCCCGCGGCCGTCGAGCCTCCTCATTCGCGGGACTCAGCCCTCCCGCCAAGAGCAGGGCCCGGAATCCAAAGCCCGGCCCCGCGCGCAAAACATGCCTCTATTTAAAAAATAAAAAAAAAAATTAAAAATTAAAAAATAAAAAAAAAAAGAAGAATTCGGTTCCCAGCGTCTCAACTGCGTCCCCGGAGGCTTCCTGCCGCTGGACCCTCTCTCCGCTCGCGCCCCCCTTAACTCAATTGGCTAACCAGCTCCTGCCCCCCTTGCAAGCCGCCCCCTCCGTTTCAGGAACCCAGCGCCCCCCACCCCCGGGAGGCCGACGCCGAGTTCCCACATTCATCAGGGCCTTAGCCCTGGACGGGGCGGGGGCCGCGGGGTTCCCAGGATCCGGGGCTCGGGACCCGCTTCCACGAGCTGCCCGGAAGGTGGGCGCAGCCGGGCCTCTCACGGCCCGATGGCCGCGAGCACTTCCCAGCGGAGTCACGGGAGCCGGGCCTCGGCGACGCCTCCCCCCGCGGGGAGCTGGGGCGCGGCCGCGCCGCCTGAGTCACCCCGCTGGGCTGGGAGGGCGCAGCCGCGCCCCGGGACCCCGCACGCCCCGACGACGGGCAGTTTTCTGCGCCGCCGCCGGCTGGAGCTCCGCCCTGGACACGCCCCTGGGGGGAGCCTGCGGCGCACGGGGCCGCGCTCGTGGGCACCGGGTTCTGGCCACCCCCAAGTGTGCGTGCGCCGGCCCTGCGGGAGCCCTCCCGGGAGCACCCCAACCCTCCCGGGCGCGCCGGTACTTTCTGTCCCACGGCCAAGGCCGGCGTCCCCGGGGCGGACTCGGGGTCCCGCAAACATGTCCCACCCCCTGCAGCACGTTTCCACGCACGCGAGCCAGCCCTGGGCACGCCCTGGTGGCGGGTGACTCACAGCTGCACCGGGCAGCCCCCGCCCTGGCGCCGGCCCGGCCCCCGCGGCGCCCCCTCTCCCCGGCCACACCTCGCCGGCGACGCCCTGTTCCGCTGCCCTCCTCGCGCATCTGCACACGTTGTTGTTCTCCAGCACACAATGATCTTGTGCCCGTCTGGGCGAGCACATACACAGGCATCACGTTTCAATTCACCGATATTGATTCCAGGGCACTTCCCACTTCTGGGGAGACTGAGAGGAAAAACACTCCTCATTCCTTTGCTGGCGACTCCAGGCCGGCTCCGCAGCCTACCGGCAGGGGCCAGTGTCTCATCCTCCCGGCCCCATCTCGCTGTGCGCGCAACTGCTCAGGGGACCTTTCTCTTCCCCAGACTGAAAGCCCTCCCCAAACGACAATAGTTCTCTCACCCCCCAGCATTTCCCACCCTCGCCCCAGGGCTGAGCCCAGTTCTTGCTAACCGTCCCCCAAAGAAGGAATCCTTCAGTCTGCAAAATTAGCTGGGGAAGCTTCCAGCATCTCCAGACCCCCTGTCTTGGGGAGAGGATGCCAGGGTTGGGAGGCTGGGAGGCAGTGGCTGGACTGGCAGAGCCTTCACCTCTTTTCTGGTGTTCATCCATCTTCTGTGAGATGTGGGGGAGATGCCACTGGCCCAACAACCCCTCATCCTGTTCTCCTTATGAGTGATTGTCTTTGGAATGAGTTTCAGATGCAGCTCCAGCCAAAGGGAGGAGAGATCAAGTTGAGGCTCAAAGGGCTCCTAGGAAAGATATTTCCTTTCCAAAAATAAAAATTAAAAGAAAAGAAATTTAGTGACAGTCCCTCCTCTTCTATTGGACATTTTTGTGGCTAGAAATGATGCTTAGAACGAGTGCAGCCTCTTGTAATTGCAGGAGGAGGAAGCATAAAGAAAAGTCAATTTATGCTTAGGGCAGTAAGAGGAGATGAAAGAACCTGCTGCCCGGATTACTTTATTCAGTCCCTAAATTAGCCAGCCCTGCAACTGCCACACAGTTAGGGGAGAGGATGCAGTTTCCTCATTGTTTGAGCCACTGTGAATTAGGTTTTCTGTTGCAAACAAAAGCTTAAATGCTCCCCATGTAACCTGGATGCCAAGGTCCTGTACTTATGGGCTTCACCCTTCTCCCCAGCCTCCTCTCTGCCTCCATGACATTGACCTTTCTTCCTTTCTCTTCACTGGTTCCTGCCTGCCTCAGGGGCTTTGCCTAAGTTTTTTTCCCCAGGCTGCAGTTCTCTGCACTGCCCCCCACCCCAAACTATCCCATCTAGGAGAAGCTTGCTTTTACATCCTTCAGAAGCTGGCTTCCCTGAACTCCCCCCTGCATACCCTCCACCCACACACTCAGAATGGGTATTGTCACTGCTTATTCATTCTTACATCCCCTGTACTTCTTTTCCACAATTTTACTCAATGAATCACTTTCCTGTGTTCTTCTCTGGGATGGTTGTCCATGAGACTGAAGCCAAGTCTCCCATACTGTTTCGTGCACGCCCAGTGCCTAGGGAGGAGCTCTGGCAACATCTGCTAAGTAAGTGCATCAATGACTGTTCTCTGACTGGATCACAATGAGTTCAGACATTGCCAGGTTCACCATGGTGCCATCTCTTTACTGCAATTCTTTACACCCACTCTCCTTGTGCAACTTGTGTTCCTGTGACACCATGCAATTGCATATTTCTGTGCATCTCTATGCCCCCAACACCTTGAGCCCTAGGGTTATGACCAGGTTGGACTTGTGATTTGCCCTCTGCTTGGACCACAGTGGGCATGATGCCAGGGTCGTTCACGGAAGCCTATGAGAGCCCAGGTCTGTCTCCATGATGTTCATGAGGCCAGTTGATCCAGATTGGTTGAGGGGTCCCTGACCCTGTTGGGTCTCAGTCAAGTCTCCAACGATCTATTCTTCTGTTGGTAACTCCCCAAATAATTTTCTCATTCTCCAAATCCCAGTTTCCCAACTAGCGGGGCACACTGTCATCACTAAGATTACATTTTGGCTGCCCTTACAAATGACTACATTTGCAGGTGGAGGACTTTTCCTTAAATAAGTATCTTCGGGTGGTATCCCTTCCTCCCATCTTCCTTTTGAACTGCACCCCCATTTTTAGTCAGTAGAATGCCACTCCTTTAAATTCATCCCTGTGCTCGTATATACACTGAAACATCTACCACTTGACTTCTCAACTCTGATTACCATAGAATTACAGGTGAGATAAGGGACAGAATTTTCTTCCTTTCACTTCACCCCCCTGCCTTTTTTTTGTTGTTGTTGGCTGTCTCATCTCAACTCTGTGAAAACATGTAGCATTTACATTCCATTCCTCTAACCTGAGCCACACCTTTGTTTTTGTCTTTGATCTGCAACTGAAAATATTAAAAGCTCTTTGCCATATCTTTTGCTAAAATATTTTCTTTTATCTTGGGTTGATTGGGGTCAGTCCTCTGGAAGTTTCCTCAAAAATGAAATATTTACTAATGTACTGAGAAGACACCTGGGACCTGAGCTGGTAACTTAAAGCAAGTCTCATGAGGTTATTGTAGTGTATCCATGGCTAGAAACAAGACATCTGGAATTCTGTGATATGAAGTACTACAATATCAGTTCTGTGATTCTCTTACCAAAACTGCATAACCTGTCGCGAGAAAATATCAGGCAAACCCAAACCAGGAACAATGACAAAACAACTATTCCATACAGGTTAAAATGTCAGGGTCCTGAGAGTAAGGAAAGACATGAGTAACTGTTAATCATAGTCCTATAAAGCTGCAGCAGAGGAGAAATAACTAAATGCAATGTAGGATCCTGGAGAGAATTCTGAAATAGAAAAAGGATACTAGTAGAAAAACTGATAAAATTCCAAGAAGGTCTTTAGTTTGGCCAATATATTAATTTTGTAACTGAAATAATTTAAATTTATTTCAACTTACTGTTAAAATACTCTGTGTATTTAGCTAAATATTTACAAGTTTTATTTAGTTAAATATGCTGATGTTAATTCCCCTGGTTCTGACCACTATGCTGTTCGTATATAAGACATGGCCATCAAGGGATTCTGCGTGAGGAAGACATGGAAACCACACTATTTTTGCAATTCAGTTCTTGTTCAGTTGGAAGAAAGAAACCCACCCTATCACTCATAAAAACCTCACATTTGTGTGGTATTAAGGCTGTTAGGAATTTGAAGGTGAAATCTGCAGTGGATTTTCCCAGACATCAGCAGGCAAATCTTATGGAGAAGGAATTACCCAGGACCCTTTGCTCAGGAAATTGCCATTCTTTCACAGAAGCACTTACTCACCTGTGGAGTTGTGATCTCTGCCTCTCAGAACACAACTCACTTTAGGAAGATTCTACAGGCAGCCTTCTTTCCCCAGTTGTAGCCTCCAGGGATTCATCCTTGCCTTTGCAAAGGTTTGCCTCTCTCTTGGAAGGTGGAACTCTGAGATCTGGCTGGCACCTCTGGACTTCCTTGGGTGTCTTCCTTTTCTTTCTTCGCCTCTTAGTACTACGTGAATGCATTGTCACTCAGAGGGTCCCCCTGGAAGTGAGTGTTGCTGGTAACATCTGATACCCCCACAGCTATTCCCATCCCCACCCCACTGCTGCTCTTCTGCCTGGTCCTGTCTTCACCAGTTGGCTGGGCTGGACTCACCTGCTCTGGATTTACATGCCTTTCCAGTATCCTAGTTTCTCTGAAGTTAAATTTGACATGTATATTGGTGATGGGCTTTTCTTGTATTCCCATACTCCACAGAGGTTCAAGAAGGAGAAATGGGATTATTTGGAATTAAGCTGTTGCCTGGTTACTACCAGTCCTGGAGGCCTGGCAGGTTGACTTGGTATTTTCTCTCTCTCTTTTTTTTTTAAAGATTTATTTATGCAAGCCTCCCTGGTGGTGCAGGCGGTTGAGCACCGCATTGTGAAGCTGTCTGCAGCCTCTCAGCGTGGGTTCAATCCCGGCCGGCTGGCGAGGGTCCCACATGGCACGGCAGACCTCTCCTGTCTCGCCCGCTGCTCCCCTCAGCCGTGTACTTCATCAGTCTGCCTGTTATGTTCCCCGCTCTGTCTCTGGTGAATCCTGCCACCCTCCTGCACATTTGGCCTGTACCCCAGCTCTTGTATAAATAAATAACTCTTTTTTAAAAAAAGATTTATTTATGCATACAAGAGCTGGGGTACAGGCCAGAGGTGTGGGAGGGTGAGAAGATTCACC